TTAACAGTGGAAGCAGTTTTAAAGTTTTGCGGCACAATCTTTCATTATTTTCAGTTAGCAGTTAGCTATGTTGTGACGGATTGCACTAACAAATCTTGTACTTTTAATTTTACCCTTCGCAAACACAAAATTACTAGTGATCAATTAAACAGGATGGTAATTATCATGCGGTTTATAGTCCCGAAAGATAATCGGGATACATCTGATCCAGATATTTGGCTGGGGTAGGAAAATAGCAAGCTCTACATGTTACATGTTTATCTGCTTTTTACGTCCAGAGGGTAACCTGTCGGCTCTGGTTGAAAACCTTGTCGAAAGCCAAACATGACCATGGTAATGCGAATTAAATGAATACTTAAACGCCGTGTGGTAAAATAAGTAGCAAATTCTTGCTTGTGCACAGTAAAACCCAATCTCACTAGAGAAAATATCGTGGAAGCTTCTAGCTCCTCCCTAAGAGAATAGAGCACTGCGATGCTAACCCAGCTAAAGCTAACCGTGCTTAGCATACGGCTTTACTCGTTTTCTTACCTGTCGTGTGCGCGGCATGTCTTCTTTGATTAGCGCTGTTTTGACGGGGGTTGGTGTAACAAGCACAGTTCCCTTATTTTTTAACGACAAAACACGGGACAGGAGACTCTATTCTATGATAATTGTAATGAATTTGTGTTTGCCCGGGTAGTCTGGCGCCACATTCCTACTCAGACAGAAGGGGGAATTGCATTTCCGGTGACGTAAGCACGTTTCCTGCTTTTCTACAAGTACACAACATACACAAAACCAAATTTACCAAATGTTTAAAAATGATTTAAAAAAATTACTTCAATTGTATCCAAAGAATCAACAATAAAAAATGTATACACACTTGTAACGTAATTCACGAAATATTTGTAGGAATTTAATATATCTTGCCTTTTTTGTTTGTTTTATTTTGTTTGTTGTTGTTGTGTTTATATCTCTTCTGTTATGTATTTAAGTATGTTATATCTTAATAGTAATTGTACTCCATCATTTAACACTTCTTTTGGAGATACTGTTCAATATCTTGTGATATTTTTTGTCAATGTTTTGTAATTTGCAACTTTTCAATAAAGTTTTGGTACACGGGGGGGGGGGGGGGGTCATATGTTAAAATGATCTGTAAAATCTTTTTTATTTTGAAACACATTCTAAATCTAACAAATGACATAAGGGAGATCAGCGTTTATGGATTTAAAATGAACCAACATTAAAGCTTGAATTTGCCATCGACATTAAAATGTCGATGGCAAATTCAGATCTGGACCTCAGAAATCCATTGTAATGATAAGCTTTATTAATATTTTAAGTTGAAGGTGGCTTATAATGATGCACTAAGACTTTTGTTAAATAAGCCCAGATGGACCAGTGCCAGTGAATTGTTTGTATCTGCTAGTGTCTGGACTTATATGGCTGTTTTGGGAAAGCTTATGTATAAATTTATTTGTCGTCTAAATGAGTCTGATAATAGAATTATTTTACTGATGACCAATGTCAAATATAGTGCAGTTAAATATTCATCTGTGCTTTGGAGACATTGGTATAATTGCCTCCTGAAGGGGTAGGCACCTTCTCTGTTGTACTTTTATTCTTTTTTTTATTCTTAGTGTATCTGTTTCTTTTAATGTATATTTGACCTTGAGTCTGTAATAATAAAATCAATCAATCAATAATAGTTTTTAATTGAATTTACATGTACACAGAAGAGTAAAACATATTTTTGCAGGATTATGAAATAACAAATTCATTGTTTTTTGCTTTAGAAAGTAGTTACAGCTTTTATGTCAAAGTTTGCTCAAAGCTTTTGATTTCCTAACAGAGTTACAGTGAAGGGGCTCATTCCCCTTGAACTTTCTCTTGTTTGTCTCTTTCCTACCAAAGAGCTTAAAAAAGAAAAATAATTTTTAAGTGAAAGAACATATCAGTAAAAAAAAAGAAAACCATTGTAGACATTTAGACTTCTCTTAGTCAACACTTTATTAGGCAACCTGCTGGTAGATGTGGGGTTTATTTGTAAATAGCAAGGGTTAGTATGAAGACTGTGAAGCTTTACCCAGTGTCAGATCTCTTAGAACCATAAACAGACTCTCTTCCAGAATTTTGCTGTCTTTACCTCTATCAGGCTCCCCTTTTATTCTTATTGTCACAAATACAATTCATTACGTGACTGTAAATCAGTGTACGTAGGTACGTACGTTTTCCCCTAGTAAAATAAAATGCCTGAGAATTTAATCTTTGTGAATTCATAGACAAGTGTTTATGTTTATAGAATATTTACCTATTCTATACATCCCTTTCTGACATAAATTCAAACAACTCTCATCAATCAAAACAATATTGATTTTTATGGCCATGGCTGGCCATAAAACAGGTGGAAAAGAAGTTGAAAATAAATAAACAGCAATACTACCATTATACCCTACAATTTAAATAAAAGGTGCCCGCCATATTTTTTTTTACTAACGCTTATCAATGAGAATAAACATTGAACTTACACAAATCAATAGTTTGGCTTTAACAAACATTGAAAATCTCTTACAATGGCACATTTATAACATAATAAACCACTCCATCCCCTGAAGTGGGTTGTGCATAACTGGAAACGTTGGACTGCCAAAAAAAACAAAAAAACTTTGGTTCCACCACAATAGAAGACTTTTCAAAAGTATATTTTGAAACAATGACACACTGATTAAAAATTGGTTTCTGTCAAACATTAAGTCTTCTGTTGATAAATATAAAGCCCTAAATAACCAAGCTCCATATTCAGAGATCTGATTGTGACGTATGATCCTAACAGAGCGGTTTGCTCTCAATCCTCAGGTTTATCAGTGGTTCCTAGAAATTCTAAAGTAGAATGTGATGCAGAGCTTTTTGATTTTCAGGCTCTTTCCTATGGAACAGGACTGACAGTAGGAACCACCTGTTATTGAATTTGCTTAAACACAGCATACATACACTATATTGCCAAAAGTATTTGCTCACCTGCCTTGACTCACATATGAGCTTAAGTGACATCCCGTTCCTAATCCATAGGGTTCAATATGACGTCGGTCCACCCTTTGCAGCTAGAACAGCTTCAACTCTTCTGGGAAGGCTGTCCACAAGGTTTAGGAGTGTGTTTATGGGAATTTTTGACCATTCTTCCAGAAGCGCATTTGTGAGGTCGCACACTGATGTTGGACGAGAAGGCCTGGCTCTCAGTCTCCGCTCTAATTCATCCCAAAGGTGTTCTATCGGGTTGAGGTCAGGACTCTGTGCAGGCCAGTCAAGTTCATCCACACCAGACTCTGTCATCCATGTCTTTATGGACCTTGCTTTGTGCACTGGTGCACAGTCATGTTGGAAGAGGAAGGGGCCAGCTCCAAACTGTTCCCACAAAGTTGGGAGCATGGAATTGTCCAAAATGTCTTGGTATGCTGAAGCATTCAGAGTTCCTTTCACTGGAACTAAGGGGCCAAGCCCAGCTCCTGAAAAACAACCCCACACCATAATCCCCCCTCCACCAAACTTTACACTTGGCACAATGCAGTCAGACAAGTACCGTTCTCCTGGCAACCGCCAAACCCAGACCCGTCCATCAGATTGCCAGATGGAGAAGCGCGATTCGTCACTCCAGAGAACGCGTCTCCACTGCTCTAGAGTCCAGTGGCGGCGTGCTTTACACCACCGCATCCGACGCTTTGCATTGCACTTGGTGATGTATGGCTTGGATGCAGCTGCTCGACCATGGAAACCCATTCCATGAAGCTCTCTGCGCACTGTTCTTGAGCTAATCTGAAGGCCACATGAAGTTTGGAGGTCTGTAGTGATTGACTCTGCAGAAAGTTGGCGACCTCTTCGCACTATGCGCGTCAGCATCCGCTGACCCCGCTCCGTCAGTTTACGTGGCCTACCACTTCGTGGCTGAGTTGCTGTCGTTCCCAAACACTTCCATTTTCTTATAATACAGCTGACAGTTGACTGTGGAATATTTAGGAGCGAGGAAATTTCACGACTGGATTTGTTGCACAGGTGGCATCCTATCACAGTTCCACGCTGGAATTCACTGAGCTCCTGAGAGCGACCCATTCTTTCACAAATGTTTGTAAAAACAGTCTGCATGCCTAGGTGCTTGAATTTATACACCTGTGGCCATGGAAGTGATTGGAACACCTGATTCCAATAATTTGGATGGGTGAGCAAATACTTTTGGCAATATAGTGTATTTGATGAATGCTCAGTTTTGCTGGGAATAGAATAAAACACTTTCTAGATCAAGACATTAAACCCAAAACCGTAGGAAATTATACAACTTTATTTCTTAGGGGAAACATCTATGACTCTTTCTTTGGAACTGTGATGTACTTTTCTACTTTCATTTTTATGAAAAAAAATGGAAGTTGAACTTTAGAATAAGCAGGTAAAAAGGAAAACAAGAATAAAATTGTTTTGCATTTTAATTGTGATAAAAAAAAAAAACATGCAGCCTCTGACTAACTAATTTGTTAATTTAGGTGGGCGGAGCAAAAGGTTTGGGCTACATTGGCATAAAGGTTTGGGAAACAGCTTTCAAATCTTGGACATTGTTATAATGCATTCAATGTGGAAGTTAGCTGAAGACTTAATCTAGTCTGTTCTCTGTAAAACCATCATCTAATTATTTTGAAACCAAGTATTCTGGACTCACACTGAATAAACTGGCACTCTTTTCCCGCTTTTAACTGTTATAATTATATTTAATTATATACAATAAAAATACTTTACTATCTAAACTTCTTTTTTTTTATTACAGTTCATTTAAAAGAAGAAAAATTTTACAATTTAACTGTTATGACTTTGGGCAGATCATTTTTGTTTATTCTCTAAATCTCCCTTCCCCCACATTTTTTAGCCAGCAGGGAGCTCAAATGTTGAACCAGAAACTGCGTCTGCCTTCCCGACTGTTCCACTGACAGCCTATAAAAGGCACAGAGGGGGCTGAGGGAGGTCACTCCCAGCAGCTGATGTGCTCTATATATAACTTCTTGGGCCTGGCCATTGTATTGGTTCAGAGGAGACACACGCTTTTCACCTTGTGATTTAAAGGAACTGGAGAGGTTGAAGCTGCTTTTTAAGATTTTCCTACTATTTTCAAAATGAACAAACAAAGGATTGTAAGACCAGAAGAAAGGTAAGGGATAGCTTTCTTCAAGTAAACACCAGAAAGAAGCTACTCACACTTATAGTTTTTTAAATTGCTTGTATAATATAACACATATCACGTTTGGCTCTATATCGTAACAGCCAGCCAGCCCATGCACTGTGGTTCGACAGAAAGAAATATGTTACAATCAACTTTGTTGTTCAAAAACCTAAAGATGTCCAAGTAGACATCCAGCCAGAGAAAATGATTTTATGGTGGGTATAGAATATTTTAGATATATGCTACTATCCTTATAGACTTTTTCAAACAAATCTTCTTTCTGTGATACAGCTGCAAAAATGACACAGATGATGTAATCTACAATGAGCTGCACTTTTACGACAAAGTCCAAATCAATGTAAGAATTCACTTCTCTTAACCTTGGATTGTTTAGTTACTCAATCTTTAAAGTAACGCATGAATGTATTGAGTGATTTAAAACATAAATCTAAATATTTTTAACCAATTTCAAGGACTCCAGAGAGACAGTGCGTGAACGGACCATAAATGTCTTGCTAAGAAAGATGAAACCTGATGTTGCATGGCCTCGTCTCCAGAAGGACCCAGCAAAGGTATGAAAAGTGATAAACTCCACAGTTACACACAACCCTGGTGACATGTTAGCATTGAGTAACTTGTATGTTTGACAATGTGTCGCTGCTTTTCCTGCAGGCCAGCTGGATTAATGTAGACTTTGACAATTGGAGAGACTGGGAGCATGAGGAAGATGAGGGAAAGGCAGAGTATGACCAGTATATAGATGTGAGTCGCTCTTACACTCAGCTCTGGTGATACAGCCATAATATGATGCCTTGGAAAACAATACATACCCCTCAACTGTTCACATTGTCATTTTACCATAAACATCATGCTAATTTATCGGGCTTATGCAACTAACACAAAGATGTACAGATTTAATTAATGGAATGAAAATTAAACAAAATTTTCTCTTTCTTTTACAAATAAAAATCTTAGATCTGATCTTAGATCTGCAACCTCTTTAGCGTAAACCTGTATCAGGTTTTTACATCTGTAGATTTTAAATTGTGTGAATTTGTTGCAGCTGAAGCTCAGTTAGAATGATAAAAGAATCATCCAACATTGAGTCTACCCGGAACTATCGGGCCGCAATCCAATGCTTTGTGTTGATTTACCGATGTCCTTATACCTGTAGGATGCTACTAACACCATGTTCCACTTAAAAATTATCTTTTGTTTGTGTTTCTGGCCAAATTTTCCTCCAAATAGTCTTCTGTATGTAGGCCAAAATGTTAAGTTCTTCCACATGCTTGTGATCAACAATGAACAGGATGGCTTTTATGGGTTTCTTTGAAAGGCTAACAAATAAACCAAAACGACTCCCCATTTCTAAGGTGCAAACCGTTCTTCTGGTTCAATTTGCATGTCTTCTATCCAAAAACACGTTTTTGGGCTACTATATAAAGCTGCGAACTCAACACTAGTTCTGATGTTTTTAATTGAAAAAGCTTCCAGGATGGGAATACATAATTAGCTAATAATGTCCATAGGTTCCCCTCTCTAAGTCGATCTCTACAGCTGATCCAGAAACACCATGGGTTTCTTTGCTAATTCTGTTATCACTACTCGGCTTATTTTGTCCTTTTTCTTTAAAAGTACCAGTGTTCAAAGTTTGTTCATTTTATGATCTAACTCTGATTTGAACTTGGTCATGAATTTCAATCTGACCTGTAAGCTGTGTTCCTTGATCATGATGTGGATGGTTCCATTAGTTCTGTAAAACCTGTCTTTAGAGAAAAAGACAGATTAAGATACACTCAGGTAAAATCTATTTCCTAACAGGGTGACTTCAAAAGGCTGCTGGCTGCAGCACATTTTGACAGAATATCTTTTACTGAACATGGTAATTGTCGCTTAATATATTTCAGGGAGTGGCGGCCTAGTCGTTAGGTCCTAGAGATTGGAATCCTGAGGTTCTGAGGCTCCTACCGACTGCCACTAAAACCCTTCACCCCCGATTGCTCCCTGGGTGCCCACTGCTCCCCAAAGGGATGGGTTAAATGCAGAGTTCATTTCGTTGCTATCTACTTGTGACAGTGTAATATAAAAAAAGCTGGAAGAAAAAAATGGAAAAATGTGGTGTACATACAAATTTTTATACATTAAAAACATTGAAACAACTTTGAAAACAATGTAAGATTATATATTTTTTTTGTGTATTTTACTCTGTCCCATGCAGTCAAGGCCATTCAAATTTGTATTTTCTTTTTTTGTGTGTGAATGTAGTAGAAACAAATCTTTAAAAATTGAATTGTATATAATATTTATGCAACCTATTCATGTTTAAACTTTTAAATATCTGTTTTTTTTCCAGATGATTCAAGAAATGGCCAGCGGAAACAAAGGAGCAGCACCAGATATGGGAGACCTCAGTGATGTAAGTTCTGTAATCTGGTAGTTTTTCACATTGTTATATAACAAATGAATAGTTTGAATGACAAATTCTTTATATATATGTTTTGAACGTTTACACTGACATGTATTTATTGTCTTCTCTTACAGTCAGACTAAAACGGATGGCTCTACATTTGTTGGAGACATTTTTTTGTACAGTCCTGGATTTTTATACACTATGCTAATTCTTGTGAAAATTATTGATTTTTTAACAAATACATTTTCTATGTCTTTTGTTTTAAATTATGTTGAATTATGATTTACTGTTGGAATTGTCAGCGTTGTTTAGAAAATATTAACTTTTCAAAGATTAGTAAAATTTATTTGTATGATAAAAACAGGGAGGAGATGAAATGGAGAAACAAGTTAGCCCCTTTGTTAAGTCCAGCTGGTAGCAGCATTATTTGAAGACAAAATAAAAAAATTAGTTTTTAAACTATATAAGAAATCAATAAAAAAAAATAATAGCACTGGTTTTATCAAGTTTAACATTGATAAAAAGAAGCAACATGCATCACTTTAGATTTGGAAAAAAGCATAAAATTAAAAATAAACTACTCAAGTCAAAAATTGTTTGCTCTTAAATGTTAACATTTCATGTAATGTTGAAAAAATATTTATTTTGTTATTTCAAGCATTTTCCAGTTGTTACCTTGTGATATGAACAAAAAAGCTTCTTCTGTATTTAGGCAACAGGGCTTACAGATCTCAGGTAACCACAGTATTCTACTAGAACAATAATGACTTTAAACACATCAGTGTGTTTTCCTGGCTCCTCATGTCTGTTTTCCTTATTGTTCTCTCCTAGATTCTGTTTTTTTTTCTGTAAAGCTCAGGTTGGCAAACATGTTGAATGTGGGAATTCTTCTAAGGGAATACGACTTAATAACACAAGTAAAGAGAAATATACTGTTCATGTTTTAACTTCTAAAACATGCACAATGTGAATAAAAATTGATAAATTCATTACAATGCAGACATCAAAAGAGCCTCAAGATAACCCCCTTAGCCAATGTCGAACCGTAGAAGATTCCATGCAGCCCAGAAAATCCAAGGCCGGAATTTAGAGGTCAGACATATTCCATTATACTATTTGGGATTAAATGTAAAAGTTCGCCGAACAGAAGTGGTATGCTGGTAAAACAAGAACCTGATTCTATATTTCACACATTCAATTTACATTTAAATCAAAAACAATTTATATAAAAAAATAACTCATATGAAAATAAAATCACTTATCCTTTTTGTTATAATTTTTCCTTAGGACATCGAACTACATCACTTAGCCTACTTCAAATTGTCAAGTCTAAATAAAGAGGCTGTGATCTGTCTTACAACTACAAAGGAGCGGGTAGAGAATTGTTTTTTTTATTCTTTTTCTTAATGCGAGAATAAAGTTGCAACATTATTGTAATAAAGTCATAACATTACTAGAATAAAGTCATAAAAGAGAAGATTTTCCATATGCATACTTTAAAATACAAGATAACCTGTGATTCATTTTGATGTAGTCAGCTCAGAGATATGAAAACCCAATTCAAATGGCTCCTCAAAAACCATAAAGAAACACATAAACACAGCTTTCATAGATTCATTTAATCCTAGTATGTTTCATTGTCAAAAATACAAGACATAGGTATATATTTTTCCCTTTATGACAGTGTGAATTGATTGCAGTTAGTGAAACTGCATTTGAAGATCACATTTCTGGAGGGAGCATCTATCATGTGTGGTCCTGAGCTCACAGCGTAGGACCTTCACAAGGTAAGGTAGCGGTGAGTATTGGCATGTGTGTTGGGATTCGATATGTCATGATGCTTGGGTAGCAATACTCTATAACGATATTGCAATATCACTATATATTGCAATATTTTTCCCAGCTAACAAATTTAATATATAGATAAAAAGCAAGCGCTGTTCCTCAGAAAATATTGATCATTTAGTTATTTTGGTATCAATGTTGTTTGGGGTTTCAGTCAGTTCATGTCTTCCACTGTGACGGACTCAACTACAGATATGGTGTTATGCTGGACAGCAAAAGGGTTCCACAGCCCTATCTGCCAGAGTGGCGGTGCAGAGGTTGACCATTTTCCCTCAATGTTTTAGATAATAAAACAAGGGAAAAGCTTTTTTTAAAAACAATACTGAAATACTGAAAGATCGATATTATATCGGCAGCCAAAAACCCTGATATATTGCCAAATGTATTTTTTCCTGCATGCCTACTAATTACTACAATACACAAACCTCACTTAAGAAAAAGAACAATGCATGTATACGTAGGACCATGGCATATTTGCACTTAATAGATTACTTTGTAGCTTTAAAAAAAAAAGCTAATGTCATTCTGGAAAAGGATTGTGGAATCATGCTGTTGGCTGCATGGTAATAATGGAGATCTACTTGAATGCATCCCTGACACGTCTTGCCCACCCGAGGAGTTGTTAGTAGCGACCCGACCAACACCTGGCAGAGGCCCCTCCCCAGGCTCTGGAACCCTCACAGTGGGTCACTTACCAGTTGCTGAAGTAAGCATGAAGTTAGAAAGCACACATGGCCTTCAAACACCTCACTGCGTACTTCCACAACACTGCAACACCATCTTCACTGTGAGGTCAGGATGCCGATGGCATCCTCCACCACTAAGTGGGCCTGTGACAGTCGGTAACTGAATACTTGCTCCTAAGTGCCAGACAACCACGTCAAAGGTCGCATCATGTTCCTTCTCAGTGGGAACGCATCATCTGCCATGAAGACATTGGGCTGTGCAGTGTTGTGCATCAATGCTTTCAACAAACGGCATTCAGTCAATACAGTCATACAGTGAACTGAATGGATCAGTTTTGAAGTAATGAACGTGAGCGAGAGCGACATCACAAAGAACAATGAGCAACACATACAGCTCACATTTGCACACAATTAATAATGACACTTTTCATTGGATAACGTCAAGTTTTACAGCACTTATTATGACAAACAGCATGACAGGCCAGCATGTCTACTGCTAGTACTAGTCTGCACAATTCAGACTCATCTACTGGTATTTCTGATGCCATTTTAGCAGAGCGCTTGATCTAAAAAAGGAAGACTCTGAAAGAAAAAACTGACGTTTGTATGCAAGCTGTGCCCACCAGGACTTAAAAACAAGTCAGCACGTCAGCCACATCCACTTAAAATGTAAAGCACCACATCGAGTTAAAGCCACCGAGCAATCTTGGGAAAATCTGCTGCTGAATGAGGAATGTTAGAAATAATTTTGGATCCAGATCTTCTCAGCAGAACCTGGATGTTCCTTTATGTCTCTGAAGTTCTCTGTAATTTGGCTAAATAAAGGCTTCACTGCAAATAAAGTATATTTTAACTGCATTATTTTCCATTTCTTTCTATATATTATGATCAAACATTTAAAGGGTGAAATATGAGGATCTATTGTGTAGAATTATGACTTAATTTACCAAATTAATTTGAAGTAGTTCATATATTAGTTTGTGGAAATAGTTAATTGTTTGAAAATGTGAACTATGAATATGAAGTGGTTACAAAACCAATTCAAATACTATTTGAGAATCTGTGCTTAGATTTGAAGATATTGAAGAACCATTCAACTCATAGAGAGTTATCAAAAGGGAATTAATAATTTAATAGATGCAAAATGTGAATTTATAGAATTTTTTAAAACAATTTCAGGAAGCGTTGTTGTGTGTTTGCATGTTCAAGATTTCTATTATATGTTCCATTATTTTGCCATTGTTTAACTCACAATAAAAATAATAATTATATAATAATAATTAATATTGCATTCAAAGTTGAAAGCATGTTCTGTAAAGTAACCTAATATATATATTCAGATGTAAAAACTGCACATAACCTTTGCTGAGATTGATGTCTAGTATGATTTAGATTTTTGTCCATAGTAGAGCAGTACTTCGTATGACACTGTCCCTTTAAGGGATATCCCATGAAACGGAAAACTCGAAGCTGCTAAATTTGGTCTGCATTACTTCCCGTACTACACTAACAGCTGCCTGTCTGCACCGTTTCTGGGCTCACAGTTTGCCTCTTTCTTAGTCAAAATGGCATTCCAGTGTCAGCGAGATTCTTATATGAAGAAGGTATGAATCTCTAAATCGGACAATAAAATAAATCCCTGAGACGCCATCTTTGTATTCTAGCTGGAGCTGTTAGCATGGCTGCTAAACTAATGTGGCTAAAGCTTCCTACAATTTTAGTTTTTCACGCCGGAAAATCGGAAATAAATGTGTTTTTTTTGTATATATACTCCAGGTTTATTTGTGTTAACATTCATTAAGGGTTGCATTTATTTACCATATTTATCATCGGATAAATGAACTAAACTTGTAGTTTGAAAAGCATTGTTAGCTGACATATTCCATTCATTTGCTTTCAGTTTGTTACCTCTGTAGTATCCTGCTCTCCAGCTGAGCTAAAACAGGAGGTGAATGGGAAGAAGGAAACCATAAAAGGCTTTAATGTCATGCTCCAAGATACAGTCTTATTCCCTGAAGGAGGAGGCCAAGTATGCAGTAAACCTCAGCATTAAACATGTTCCACTGTTGAAAGGCAGAGTGTAATCCTTTCCTTAATGCTCCCACAGCCAGATGACCATGGCCTGATTGGAGATGTTCCTGTTTTAAGGGTGACTAGACAAGGACCAGATGCAGTTCACTTTGTGACCTCACCTGTGGAGGTGGGTCAGGAGGTGTGTGTTGAGGTCAACTGGGAAAGGAGGTTTGATCACATGCAGCAGCACTCAGGTGAGTCTCTGAGGTCAATAAAGGGGCTATAAAGGCATGTTGTTCATTGTTTTTTTTAAAGGTACATTACCTTAATTAGTATTTTACATAAAAGAGAATACAAAATAGTATAAATATGAGATAGGAGGAAAAAAAGGTACAGTTTCAAATGTGCCTGATGTAAAATGAATTGGACCCCTAAAATACTGGCCCTCTAAAAGTGCTTAAAGGGGAACGCTGTGTGTTTGTTTTTTTACACTGGGCTCTTGATTTTACATTATTCCATCATGTTCTACTCACCCATATGAGTTTTGTGTCATTTGGAGCCGTTCTGAAGATATTCCGTTAGGTTATATCCAGTAACGTCTTCCTATGAGCAACGACTTGAAGGCACAAACTAAACTGTTCATCATTTATTCTTTATGGTACACCAGCATTCAGAACATGTAGGCCAATCACTGTCCCCCAGACATCCACGGTTATATTTTTTATATTTCTATCTTTTAAAAACAAAGCAGCGCATGTATGACATCATCCGCGTGCGCTGGCTACCATTCATTCTTCCTGTCCGCTGAACTGCTGCTAGTTTTCCTCACATGCCTGGAAGATGTCTAGTGCTGCTGCCACAGATGATCTCGCTCTCCAAATGGAATTGATTGATTCAGATTAGCTAGAATGAATAGAAGGAGTAGAGCGTAGCCGCCTGTGGCCCGGGCTGCCTGTCACAACTCCAGTCCGCTGCGCTGAAAAAAAGCTAATTTTTAAGCCTTGCATAAAGTAGAAAGGGGCTGAATCTCAAAGCACCCCCTAACCACTAACTATTATGCCTCACTTGCAGTAAAGTCAAACTCACAGATGTGGAAGGCGCCTGTTTTGTACGTGAGGATTAAAAACGCGAATGGTAGACCCACTTCCCTTCACAGAAAAGGGAAGACACAGTGACACCGCATGTGTGGCTGTAGCGCTGTGGCCCAGGTTATCATAACAGCAAACAGTGCCATTTTCTTTCTTTTTTTAAATCTAAAAATATCTAGTGAAATTATTTCAAAGAGGACCTTCCATTTAGGATTAATGTCTTTTTCTAAATTTTGATTTTTGGTCAGTGTGATGAAGATGCAGCAAACCAGCAGAACTTACATGTGAATGCACATGTTTTCTTCACCACTAGTACACTGTTATACCCACAGCCAAATTCCAGCCTGCACTGATGCACATTCGCTATTTAAGGGGTGAAAGTCCACTCGCCCTACCCACTACGTGGTTTGGGATGGCCCTTAAAGGAATAGTACACCCAAAACATGATTAGCCTTCATTTTCTACTCACCCCCATGCTGATCAGCACTCTGAGGTACTTTTTTATCTCAAATGCATCTGGAGATCTGGGAGGCTTCTTGCTGTCTGCTGACATTCAAATAATGGAGGTCTATGGCGCCCGAGGCAGAAAGGTCCATAAAAGTCCACAAAAAACGTGTCAATATTCCTCCATACTGCTCGTCCAATGTATTCCAAGTGTCCTGAGTGGGTAGCATCCAGAATTTACTCGAAACGAAGTCATTTAGAATGTTTTTAGAGCATAAACAGTAGTGTAAAGGATTTCCTGAAAGCGCGCGCCGGCGCGTTCACGACGCTACGGAAACCGCGGCAGACCAAACCAGATGAAAGTGCGCATTCAGCGTCTGCTCTGTCGATAATGCAAGCGTAGAAGAAGAAATGTGCTGTTTACCTGTGCAAAGAAAGAAACAACGAAAGAAAAATGTCTGAGGACTTCAGTGTTGAGGAAGAGCATGAGTTCTTTGCCGAGCTGAATGCGCACTTTCATCCGGTTTGGTCTGCCGCGGTTTCCATAGCTTCATGAACGCGCATGTGCGCGCTTTCAGGAAATCCTATACACTACTGTTTATGCTCTGAAAACATTCTAAATGACTTCGTTTCGAGTAAATTATGGACGCTACCCACTCAGGACATTTGGAATACATTGGACGAGCAGTATGGAGGAATATTGACACGTTTTTTGTGGACTTTTATGGACCTTTCTGTCTCGGGCGCCATAGACCTCCATTATTTGAATGTCAGCAGACAGCAAGAAGCCTCCCAGATCTCCAGATGCATTTGAGATATCAAAAAAGTACTCCAGAGTGTTGTTCAGCATGGGGGTGAGTAGAAAATGAAGGCTAATCCTGTTTTGGATGTACTATTCCTTTAATGTGGCCATTCGCAGGAACGCGCAAACAGACGGTTAGTGCTTAGGGTTAGAGTTTAGGGCCCGGTTTAGGATTCAGGCAGGGTGTCTGCCTCACAGAACAAAACTGGTAGTTGGTTCCACAGGAGAGGATTTAAAATTCTGTGAGATGGCTTCTCTTTAATAGGAACAGGGAAGCTGGTCAAGACTAATGGAAAAATGTTGCTGTTTAACTGCCTACAGCCTGCAAAAGACTTTAGACAGAGTTAGACAACTTATAAACAGAGGTGTCTAGGGATGTCATTTAGATTAGTGATGATCTGTTCTCTCAAAAATATTTAAAACTTTGCGATTGCAGTGTTATTAAAATGCAAAAGAAGAGCAATGTTTTAGTAATTGTAAGATTATATTTGGTGTCCTTGTTTTTTAGGTCAACATTTGATCACAGCTTTGGCAGACAAGATGTTTGGGTACAAGACCACATCATGGTAAATCATTAGACTCTAGTTTAACAGTCAACAAAGAGAACTGAGCATTTATCTAGTCCTTTTGTTCACCTTTCCATTTCTGTAGGGATTTGGGCCGTCAGAGAAGCACGATTGAACTGGACACTCCATCTATGAAAGCAGCGCAGCTCCAGGAACTGGAAGAAGCCGTAAATGAGAAGATCCGAGCTCACATTCCTGTCAGTGTTCAACTCCTTTCTTTAAACGACCCTGCAGTGGAGAAAGTGCGTATACACAGAGGTTGGACTTTCTATAACTGAGGATTTTGGTGATAAACAGTGATTGAAATATGAAGTCTTTAACAAACGTCAAGTAAATTGTGTTGATGTGGTTCAGGTGAGAAGTCGGGGGCTGCCAGATGACCATGCAGGACCTATTCGCATTATTGATATAGAGGGCATTGATGCCAACATGTGTTGTGGAACCCATGTGACCAACCTCAGCCACTTACAGGTAAATACTCGGGTAAAATCACTTCAGCTAACTGGAGCTGGTTGTGCTAAATTATTCACTTTTGCTCCTCTTTGATCCTAGGTTATAAAGCTGCTGGGAACAGAGAAGGGAAAGAAAAACAAAACCAACCTGATCTTCCTCGCAGGAAACAGAGTTCTAAAATATGCAGAGAAGAGCTACAGCACAGAGCGTTCTCTGGTGTCTCTTCTGAAGTAGGTTATAATCGGTTGTCAAATGAAGCTAGAGTGGAAAATATTCAATCTGATCCTCATTCTACAGGACAGGTCCTGATGAGCATGTGGAGGCAGTGGACAAGTTGCAGAAGTCTGTCAAGCTGCTACAGAAGGTAAGAGTATTTCATCTCATTTATTTATCAGGAGTAAGCTGAAGCTGCAGCTCTGAATTTCCTCACCAGTGAAAATTGTTTGCAGACCAATCTGACTCTGCTTCGTGATATGGCGGTCCTCATCGCTCAGAACTTTAAGAATAACCCAGACAGAGGACATTTCTTCAGTTTACACAAGTAAGATTGCAAGAAATGTGTACAATAGTCAGTTTTTAGAGCAGGCCTGCCCAAAGTCGGCCCTTGAGGGCCAGTGTCCTGTAAGTATTAATTCAATTCAATTCAATTCAGTTTATTTATATAGCGCCAAATTCACAACACATGTCATCTCAAGGCACTTTACAGTTCAACCAGATCATACAGTCAAATTGATACAAAGTTTTCTATCTAAGGAAAACCAGTTGATTGCATCGACTCATTGACTCAAATACAATCCCCCACACTAAGCATGCTTGTAGCGACAGTGGAGAGGAAAAACTCCCTTTTAACAGGAAGAAACCTCCAGCAGAACCAGGCTCAGTGTGAGCGGCCATCTGCCGAGGCCGACTGGGGTTCAAGGAGACAGAAGCAGAGATACAAAAAGCAGCTGTAAAAGGCGGCCCCGTCCAGGAAACACACAGCCAGGCAGACGAGCTCCAAGGCAGCTCCCATGCCAGAGGACGAAGAGAGCACATCCACTCAGTCACGGTCAGAGAAACAGGACCACACTGGAAAACAGGCCGATCTCCAACATCTATAAACAAGGGTGTTGATAGAAGCAGCACAGCTGATGTTTCTTTCCAGGATGGCGTCACAGCCAAACAGGAACAGAGGTTTCCCAACTTCAGCGGAGCTGATTTTCATTGATTGCTGATTCCCAGGCTTTCACTGAAATGCAGTAATCAGAATCTGCAGAGAAACCTCTAAAACCTGCAGGATAGAGGCCCTCTATGTCCGACTATGGGCAGGCCTGATATAGGGCCTTGCAAAGCTATTTTGTACGCTTAGAAATTACAGGTTCTGTCAGGTGACAGACCCAATTAAAGGTGTGCATCATTGGATAAAGTAGAAATAGTTTTTAGCATTGCTGTTAGAAAACGGACAGTAGCAGCCATTCAAAATGGTCCTTCCCAGTAAAACAGCAGCTGAACAGCTGCCCACTTCCCTGCAACTCCCAGCAAAATCCCCTCCAACTTCCAGCCATTGGAGTGACGCCTCTCCTTCTCCTGGGTGTGCATATTTTTTTATTTTGACTCAGGCTTGGACTGGTAATCTGTGATACCGGGCATTTGCCTGGTTGGCCGGCCCTCCTTGAACTATACAGGCCCCAACGTTTCCTCTCCTTCTCCGGCCGAAGCTCCTTCCTGTGACAATAAGTAACTCAAGGAGTTCAAGAAGTAATACAATGTTAACTATAATTGATGCATGCAGTATGTATAGTCCTTCCTTGTCATGTACATCCTTGTGACAGTTGGCACATGGTGTATTTTCTTTCTTCAAACTGTAAAATCCTTGCAACAAACTAAATTATAATGAACTAAAATGCTTTCTTTAAGCCAAACTACCATGTTCCTCTTATATTTGGCGAATTTATGCTAGAATATATTGCAAAAATATGTTGCGGTGCATGATGGGGTTTTGCATCTGTTTACATTATTCCATTTCATTGCCCACATGCCACCTAGACTGGCAGTGAACGCTGACACACCACTGAGATTTCATGGATTCATTCTTAAAGAACTGCCTGTCTGCCTCTGCAGGGCTCAATGTTAACCTTCGCCCGATCGCCCAGGCCAAGTAGTTTTGTTGTCGGGAGAGTACAAATTTCATTGCATTTGCCCGCCGGGCAAGAGCCGGGCAAGAGCAATGGTCGCAAAAAAAATTATTTATCACTCAAAATTACTTTAAAATCAGACATTCGCTGAAAATGACCCACAAGCGCTGTGGGCACCATTTTTGTCGTTTTGTACACATTCTCGCGTGATTTGAAAAAGCCGTGTGATTTTCCGCTAGATGGCGTGATTCAGCTCTTGGGGAGAGAATTGTGCAGAGCAGCAGCTGGATGATGAATTTAATCTATACTATAATACACGCTAGATTAAAAATGATCAGTCAGGGATTAGGAAAATAATAATAATAATGGTATGCTCACAGTGTAAATATTTCTATCATATGGCAGTCTTCTGTACAGTGGTCATATAATAAAAAATGTTCATTAAATTTTTTCTCTTAGACATTGGAGTGGTGCATTAAATGTTATAGAGCTAAACATGTTCAATTGGTAAGTAGTAGTATTGTAAGTTTTTAAGCTGTCAAGTTTTTTTTTTTGTGATTTTTAACATTACAATTTATATTTTTCCAAGCACACGACAGTTTAAAGCAAATTTTAGTTTGAAAAGAATGTGCAGGAAGGATTGAAAAGCATGTTAACACGGTAATGTAGGGTTGAGTTCATTATCTGACGCATGCAGATACACACCAGGAACCTGGAAACTACTGAATTACAAAAAACATTTAAAAAACAAACATGTTTCATTGATATCTATACAAAAATAAATATTAGGAACTATATTTATGAGACATTATACTGGGCAAGTAAAAATTGTTTCTGAGCAAATGAAATGTGAAGGTCACTTGCCCAAAGGGCTTTTCACACTTCGTGCAAGTTTGGAGGTTATGGAGCAGCAGTAACTGTTGCGTCCGTGTTAATAACCAAAGCCAGTGAAACCGCGTTATAGAAGTCTTGGTGATGGTTGTCGTGTGATACTTCAAGATACATCGGTTAATCCACAATGTGTTTCACATTTGAGATGCTCGCGCTGGACTGTGCTTCTATTTTTTTTTCCGGGGCGGGATTTTGGGCCCGTGTAGATGAAAAAATAGGGTTGAAAATCTTTCCCAGTCCGACCCTGCTCTGACTCCACCCTTTCAGTGAATTACAGGATCTGACCAGGAGATGGCGCTTCTCCTTAGATCACAATGTCCACAAATCATGACAAGAAGAATATTTTAGTACAACCATTGATGTTGAAAAAGGAATTGTAGGGGAACAACCAAGGGCCCATCAAGGAAAGTGGGGAAATTTTGAATGGCTACTACTGTATTGAAAGCTTTCAACAAGCCATGAGGGAGAGACGGCAGAGATGGACGAAGGTCGTCTTGTTAGCACCTTCCCATGCCCACTAAACATGTTAGCGTTGACATCTTATTGAGACATTTCCATGGGATCAGGGAAGGTGTTCAGATAACAAGGTGGCTTTAACTGCAGGAAAATCTTTGACAAAAAGGAAGTTTTTAGTTATGACTAATTTTACCATGCATCTTTGTCACTGACAATAGTTTAACATCATCTAATTGCAGAAAAGAGGGTGACAATGAGTTCATGAACATCATTGCCAATGAAATGAACACAGAGGTAAGATCACTGTCTGACTGCTCTACGTTTGGCTCATGATGAGTTCTGGAATAATTGTTTTACTTGCTTCAAGGAAACTCTCGTTTTCCTCACTGTTGGAGATGAAAAGGGACCTGGGTTGTTTCTCCTCGCTGGACCCAGTGGACAGGTGGCTGAATTAGGACCACAGTAAGAGATTCAGACACATCTTCCATCTTTTTTATTTTTATCTGGTGGAAATGAGCTGTTGAACACAGGATGTCTCTGTGCTCTTCAGGGTTTTAGAGTTGCTTCAAGGAAAAGGTGCAGGGAAGAACGGGCGTTTCCAAGGCAAAGCAAACAGCCTGGCAAGGAGAGAGGAGGTGGAGGCTTTACTAAGGCAGCATTGCGAGCATCACAGAGCAGAAGAAGAGTAAACTCAGCTTCCAATCCCTGGAAGAACAGAAACAGCGACCATAAAGGATGGTGACGCACCTTAAAGGTGACATGCAGACCTTGACAAATGTTAGCATCTCTGACAATGTTGTTTAAAAATCCTTAAAATAAAATCATCTTTATCTTGTCATCTCACAGAGCATTTACAAAAACAAATCTTGTTTTAATTAAATGTCTTTAAAAAATGTAATAGCACTATTGTTAATACCGCTGTCGTTAAAACTCTAATGAACCTGCTGCTCACAAAGGTGTGCTCCAAACCAAAATATTTCACAAGTTTGGCGCACAGATTATTTTTGCAGCGTTCTTAGATAGTCCTGAGTCTTCACTTCACCGGATTTCTATGATTTGCATTGGGACTCGACACGACTGTTGGAGAAGGTGTGTGTGTCTAGTGAACAATTCCGTTGTTTAAAACCCCCTTGATTTTTTTTTTGTCAGTGTCACCTAGAGTTGACCATATTTGATTTCATTAGAATGGAAAAAAAGATATATTTCTAAAGGTACTGCTTTTGTAAAAGTTTGTGTCTAAAAACACATGCAAACTTGATGGAGTGTAGCACTGATTCACTAAGACATTTCTTGAAACCTTGATCGGTTCTAAATTGCATTATTATTAAGGGGATTGAGAATGCTGTCATTTCTGTATTTTTCCCCCCTTAGAGTTCCAATGATGGATTGCTTCTAAAATGTTTTGCATGAAATTATTCCTGCAATACAAATGTTTATTAAAGATGTTTTAATTTATCATAAATGCCCTATTGTCCATTTATGCAAATATTGTTTAAAACAATGAACTGCTAAATGTCAATTTTAAGAAGTAAATATTTGTATTATGTTTCTATTTTGAATAGACTCAGATTCTTATGGTTCCTCAATGCATGTCAAAGACAGCCAGCTGTTTCTAAACAATAGTAAGGATGTAGGAGCCATTTTTCATGGATTAAAAATGTATTGGTTTGCTGCATTTATGTCGGAGACCTAGCAGCTCGGTGAGCTCAGAAATTGCGCCGATACATCGGTAATTAGTTCTTAGTAAAATCAAGGTGCAGTTCAGACACATGGTGTATCCCCTGCTGACACTAGATACATTTAAAAATTAACTGGTGAGTGTTGCACACATTTGCTTTTGCCATTTAACAAATCGTAAAACCCATGTACTAATCAGTTTTTCTGTCAGCGACTGTGACAAAAAGAATATTGCATCTGGTACAGAAGACCCATAGGATTCGACCTCTGTTCTCTATTTTAGTTTGGGTTTCCTTAAAGATGTGTATTCAATATTTAAGCACATGGAACAAACATTTAAAACCATCCCTAATCTATTTTCTCATTGTTCCATTTATTTCTGATGCTCATCAGAATCACCAAATAACTCAGTTTTGCTCACAAGATTTAAAGCTTTTAGAAAAGCCTGACGGCATCAAAAATATTTTTTTTAATCAGCAAGTAAAACTAGCTGCTGTGATTGAAATCATCTCCAGTCTATCCTCTAGCATCTTTACATGTTTGGTACAATTAAATATATTCTGAGCAAATTATGTATTGGCTGTGATTTTCTCCTCTGCTGTAAATGTATGGAAAATAAATACAGATTTCATTAGAAACTTGCAGGATCTTTATTGTAATTTTCCTCCAAGACTGTTTTACATTCATGTGCAAATGATGTGCTACAGAGCCTATTGGCACTGATGACAAATGGATCCTCTATAAATATTTCTTTAAAAAAAACATTTTTTAATGAGTTTGTAATATTCCTTGTACAAAAAAGAACGGCAAATACATGAATAATATGGATTGGCACAACATAGAAAGAAAAAAATAATCATAAAGCCACCTGGTAAAGAACCCAGTACAAATGAAATGACCTTAAAAGTCTAAATAGTGATAGTGAACAGAGACCTGTTGACAGGAGTGATCCAGTGCAGAACCTGTGACCCTAAAAAACAGTTTATCACCATTCTGTGGTTTTAGATCATTTTAGTGTGAAATGTTTACAACAGGAGTCCCATCTGTTTCACATTGAAGTTTTCTAGATACAAAAAACATTTAATTGTTTTTAATAGTGTAAATATGCAGGTGCTATTATCCCAACAATAAAATACTGTAGAAAAGAAAAAGAACCAAAGCTCTCTGAATAGGAGTTGGAACGACTTCCACTGTAGAGTTATTGAAGTGGCTTCACAATCTTCATTGAGATGTAGTTCTGAAAGAGATCAGTTAAAACAAGTTAATGCACCGTTACCTGGATTGATTATAATCCTGTGTTCCCTTTCTGATACTTTTAACTATTTTTCTGTTGACGCTGACAACTCTAGACAAGTAGACGTTCCTTAGTAGCCAATCTGCATCTTTTATCAAAGATGTGATTGTTCCCAACAGAGCACTTCACTCTCAATCTGCAGGTTTACCTGTGGTTCCTTAAAGTAGAACTGGAAGCAGAATTATCAGGTTGCTCCCCTGTGAGGCAAACACCCTGAATACTTCTAAGAGAAGGTTAAAACCTTCCTTTTCAATCAAAGCGTATAGTTAGAGCTCAGGTTATCTGAGCTATCTCTATAGTTACTCTGCTATAGGCATAGACTGCTGGAGGACATGAAGACCACTTTTCATCATTCTATCTCTATTCTCCAATTCTGCATCGTTTGTTAGGTCAACCACCAACTTTATGTTCTCTCTGCCTTTTATTGTCACTAGCCTCATCTGATCTGATGCTGTTTGGCTGTGACATCATCCTGGAGAGTTATTAGCTGGGCTGCTGCTATCAGGCCTTAATTCCTAATGTAGAAAGTATTTATGGATGATTACTTCTATATTCCTGTTGCATGTCTTCTTGAACCCCTATTCAGCCTTTGCAGAAAATTACTCGCAGAGTTTGGTTCTGCTGGAGGTTGCTTCCTGTTTACAGGGAATGCTGCCTCTCCAAAGTAGCTGTAAGATGCTAGGTTTGAAGGATTACTGCAATGTCAAGCAATCCTTACAAGCAACAATCTGTTTTCACATGCTAATTGAGGAGGAGTGAATCTTCTTTGTCTTTAACATTTCTTTCATCTGTCTTTGTAAAGTACTTTGAGACTACATTTGAATTAGTGCTATAAAAAATAAACCGAATGAAATATTGGTTCACAGATGTTGAATACCTCTGTCTTTATAGTATGTTCTTTTCTTTTGTCTATCTCATGTACTGGGAAGAGGTCCGACTTAGTGCCGGTTCGCATTGCCGGCACTAAGTCGTACCTGTTCCCGGTGCATGTTGGACTCCGACAGGGCTGCCCTCTGTCACCGGTCCTGTTCATAACTTTTATGGACAGGATTTCTAGGCGCAGCCAAGGACCGGAGGGGGTCTGGTTTGGGGAACAGCGGATCTCGTCCCTGCTTTTTGCGGATGACGTAGTTCTGCTGGCTCCCTCCTGCCAAGACCTACAGCGTGCGCTGGGGCGGTTCGCAGCCGAGTGTGAAGCGGCCGGGATGAGAATCAGCTCCTCCAAGTCCGAGGCCATGGTTCTCGACCGGAAAAAGGTGGCTTGTCCCCTTCAGGTTGGAGGAGAGTCCCTGCCTCAAGTGGAGGAGTTCAAGTATCTTGGGGTCCTGTTCACGAGTGAGGGAAGAATGGAGCAGGAGATCGATAGACGGATCGGTGCGGCTGCTGCAATAATGCGGACGCTGCACCGGTCTGTCGTGGTGAAGAGAGAGCTGAGCGAAAAGGAAAAGCTCTCAATTTACCATTCGGTCTACGTTCCTACCCTCACCTATGGTCATGAAATTTGGATCATGACCGAAAGAACGAGATCCCGGATACAAGCGGCTGAAATGAGCTTTCTCCGCAGGGTGGCTGGGCTCTCCCTTAGAGATAGGGTGAGGAGCTCGGTCATTCGGGAGAGGCTCAGTGTAGAGCCGGTTCTTCTCCACATCGAGTGGAGTCAGTTGAGGTGGCTCGGACATCTTTTTCGGATGCCCCCTGGACGCCTCCCTCGGGAGGTGTTCCAGGCACGTCCCACCGGGAGGAGGCCCAGGGGACGACCCAGGACACGCTGGAGAGACTATGTCTCTCAGCTGGCCTGGGAGCACCTAGGGCTTCCCCCAACAGAGCTGGAGGAGGTGTCTGCGGAGAGGGAAGTCTGGGAGTCTCTGCTTAGTCTGCTGCCCCCGCGACCCGGTTCCGGATAAAGCGGGAGACGACGAGTACGAGTATGTTGAGAAGGGGCAAAGAAAAACATCTTTGCGTGCAATGCAAGCAAATCTAGAGGGATATATCTATATAGGTGGATCTTAAAGAATAGGAAATACTTTATTATCCTTATATAAGTCAACCACTCAGATTATAATGCAGTGTTGTCTGTTATGTATCAAGTGTCTATATCTGGTTGAGTTTGACTTGAGGCAAAAGAAAATCCAAAACCTTGTCACTCCAAAAATAATATTTTACAGGACAAATGCAGATCAATGCTGTTGTATATAGAAAATTATATCAATGTAATTCTTAGTATATCTGCTTAATGTTTTTTTCAGGGCTCAATTTGGGTGAATTATTCAACTAAAGCAACTTTTTAATGCGATGCAGGTTTAGAAGGACGGCGGAGAGACAGGTATAGAACATTTGTAAGAAGAATATTTAGTGTTTCACGCATCGATACTTACCGGTAATGAGTACAACAGGATGGCAATGAAGAGCACCACGATTATGAGAAAGATAAGTCCTATGAACACCCATTTGAACCTCCTCCACACAATGAACTTCATGGTCTTGCATGGGTTAGTAAACCAGAAGAAAGACGTTTCTGGACGGCTGTTGGTTTGAAAGAATAAAGCAAAAACAGTTTGTTAGATGATATACAGTACAGCAGGATTTACTGTACATTGAAATTTCTTCATAACACCATCCCAAATCTCCTAGTATAGTTTGGTACAATGGACTTACTTGGGAGGGTCCAGTTTTGGGTTCATGTTGGGTTCGTCTCGTCCTTTTCCTGCAGGTATCTCATCTGCTTCTGCTTCACTCACAATCTCCAGCGTCATCTCCACTTTGCCCTTTTAATACAAAAACAAGCCTCATCAAAATGGACTCAGCAACAATGGAAATTTTAGGGATCACAAGTGCTCATCTTTTCTGGATCTACTAATACTTGGATGCATGCATAATTTTGGAAAGTTAAGGTCTCCCTCTAATTCATACAGAACCATTTTAATGCAAGTAAAAACAAAACTAGGAACTTTTTATTGAAACTTTTCAAAACTCCTTATTGGTTCTAGTTATATCTTTAGAGTTGGAACCATATTTAAATGAGTAATGTTTCTCCTGGAACCAAAGCCCTTAATGCAATCTGAATTTTCCAGCTTTATGCTATGTTTAGTTAGCCTGACGCAGTCCTACTCAATTCTAGTCAGAATATGAGTCTGATGCTGCTCCATAGAGCTGTGATTATGGGGCGTGTTTCGAACGAACCAGGAAAAAAATGCCTCTGCACTCAATTGGACAAACGTACAACCAATAAGAGCAACGGAGTGCGTGACGTATGTTAAGCGACGCATAGTTGTTGTCAACAAAAATCAAAGCGTGCAGTTTCACGCCTAGAATAAGAAGATGAGCCTTGATCGCGTTTCTCTGTTCCTCTTTTAAAATTAATTTTCTGTCGATATCTTCTAGAACAGACCTAATAGCAGAATCTACACACCTCAACTCTCCGGCGGCAGCCATTGTTGTTGTCACCCAAGCGCGCTTTGGTCACGTGGTTGATTACGTTACTGTTGATCATCTGTCCATCATCCGATAAAGCCCGCCCTGACAATTTGATTGGATCGCCTGACAGTGGGCGATAATACTCGCGCTACTATGGAGGAGAGCCAGACCGAACTTCCCGACCTCAAACCTTGTCGGCGGGACTAAGTTCGGAATGGCACCCAGGCTAATGTTTAGTCCGCATGGACTGCACAGATGAGGTATTCAGGTAAACTTTCTCACTTAAAGACATATTAAAACTACTTTTTAACCACTGATCACAGCAAATATAGCAAAGCCGCACTCTGCCATTGAACGCAGGATGCATCTGGAGAAACTTTAATGGATGAGGTTCAGGAGTGTCAAAGATGCACTTGAGCGTCGGACCTTAATGTCTACGAGCATCAAAAATGAAGCAGCAGAACTTTTTTGCTGCTACCAGCGCTTGTGGTCTGAACGTATCATTATTGTGGAGTTAGTTTCAACCCCTATACTTACACCCAAAACTCTCTTCCCATCTTGTTCGATGGAACAGGGCCACCATCCTCTGACCGACTTCTGAGCAAACAGGGAATTAGCGGTCTGTAGTTTGCCTGCTTCTCCGGTTTCCAGATTGTCCATCATGTCCAGGGAGCATTTCTCTGGAGTCTTGGAAGGAGGGACGAGTTTTCTCAAATCTAGTTCCAGTACACCTGGAAAAACAAGGTAAACCTTTTTTTTATAATCTCCTGCTTATGTATTTAAAAAGTTTAGTCTTATGAAACAGTTTGGTGTTTTTTTACCCAAGTAATCATCCAATGAGAATTTGTCGTTGTCCCATATCTGGACAATCAGCTTTGGGGGAATCCTGAACTCTGTGTTGTCAAGACTCCAAAAGTTTTCCTGATGCATAACAAATAAAAACAAAAACATTTTGGTTGTATCCAACAAAACTGGTCTCTTTATAAAAACATGAACTAACATAGCAGCATGATGGGGCTGCCTTACCTTCTTGGACACAAGGCAGAGCTGTTCAGCTGGCAGGTAGTCAAAGCCAAAGACAAACCGCCAGTTAAAGTTGCCGTCTCCATCCAGAGACCTGTAGTGCACGTCGGTTTTCTGTTTGTCCTCCTCCATGCCGGGCATCCAGCTGATGCAGAGAACATGCAATTATATTCATGACTGTCCTTTATTTGAGGCTTTGATGGATTTAAAACAAACAACCACAAAGGTGGAGTGCACGACACATATACCAGCTGTCGAGTACCGGCCCTGCTGACCTTTGATGAATGTCTCCCCTCTCTTCTCTTTCCTGCCTTCATACTTTTGAAAAATAAAGGCCACTAAAGCCTTAAAAATGATCTTAAATAAAAAAAAAAAAAAAATAAAAAAAAAAAGGATTTTACAATAATTTGCTGAACAGGTCTGAATTTATGACTACATTCAGGCTCAAACATTTTATCAAATGTGCTGTTCCAGGCTTTGCTTTGTCTTGTTGGAAAATTATACTTTGTTATGGCTTCTGACTTAAAGCTACAGTGTGTAATTTTTAGCGACATCTAACGTCCAGAGTGCAGACCGCAGCAACGTGAACATCTCCCCCCCACCGCTTCTCCCCCCCAACAGTACGGCGAGCGTTACGGGACAAAATGTCTTCCACGACGTCCGCATCACCTACCTTCTCAAGTGATGAGGTTTGTTTACATAGATAATTTTACAGATAGTATTTCATTAGTCTGTGTAGGGTATAGATTTCATGTAGACTTGAACAACTTGCCGTAGTTACTTTCGAGCCTAATGGGCGATTTCGCAATCGCTAGTTTGTTGGCTCTGCGCTGCCGTAGAGCAAAGATGTCTGCCTCCATGGCTGCGAGACCCGCTCCTATGTAATTATAAATAACGAATTCTAAGGCAACGCAAATATTAAGGTTAAGAGGCTGAGCTCATAGATGATGATAAATAACATAGTTATGTATAATATATTACATTTCTGACTGTATATCCCTGTAATTATTACACACTGTACCTTTAAGGTTGTAGAACCTGCAACTATTCAGATCATTTGCATGATTCTGTCATGACCATGGTGGAAGGCCGGTACTCGTTTCTAATGTCTGAAAAGTTCCCCTTTGACTCCTCAGACACATTTATTTTCATAATAGGTCAACATTCTCATTATCTGGTCATAAGATTAGCTTTAGCTTAGAAAAGCTGCTAATTTGAATAAAATTTTAAGTAGATGTAAAAACAGACAATGATGCTATGATGATGAAGCTGGTATTTCATAACTTCCAGTTGATTTGTTTTGACTTGTACAGGTAAACCTGTTTTCTCTCTGAGGCTGACATTATAGGTAGTTAAAATCTTGACAAAGATCTTAAAATCTAGAATTGTTTAGAAATTAATCCAAAAGACTTACCAATATTTTTTCATTTACAGTTCATGTTATTTTACCTTTTTTTAGGTTTAAGAGTTAAAGTTAATTCCAATGAAAAGAGGATCCTAATTGTTACTAGCTATAGTAGATTATGGTCTTAAAAATAACTTTTGATCTTGGAAAGATCAAATGCTTTCTAGAACCTTCAACATCTACTATTAGAAGATTTTGGTGCATAGATATATAACATTGACCGTTTTTGGATTAGATTAAATTCACAATAAGGTTTGAATTGTAAAGTTGCTATACCCTTTCACATAGATGTCACTCATGTTCTCTCCTGTGATGCTGGTTTCATCCAGAGTTACATCCGTGGTGTTCCAGATGACGACTCGCAGGAAATGCCTAAACAAGCAGACAGGTCAGTTTTATCCATCTGCATCCCCTGGAAAAATCCTTTTTACATACCTCTTAGGTTTGCGGGGCGTGATGTCGAAGGGAGGACCAGGCTGTCCCATGCTTTTTGGGAAGACATCCACCCACATCTGTAGCCGACCCTTTAAATCAACAAATTAAGTAATGGGTTAAAACGTATAACTTCAGGGCAATGGGCAGCTGGGGGTATGTTCAGTTATTTGACCAAATATCCATACCCATTAAATCTTTTAAATTTGTCATGTTATATGAAATACAGTGAACCACTCAGAAGGAAGTGGATTCAAAGTGAAAGGAGAATGTTTATTTTTTTTAAAAGGCAACGTGATAGACATTTGTATTTATCGCCCCCAGCTTTATACACCCCCTAGCATAATGCTGCTACCACCATGTTCCAGTCAAGGTTAAGTGTGAACAGTAAGTTTTTCTTCATACGTTCTGCTCGCAGATCAAAGGGTTCTTCAGGGGTTGCCCTTCGGGCAAGTGACTTTCACATTTCATTTGCCCAGAAACTATTTTTACTTGCCCAGTATAATGTTTGATAAATGTAGTTCCTAATATTCATTTTTATATATATATCAATGAAACATGTTTGTTTTTTAAATGTTTTTTTTTTATAATTCAGTAAGTTTCCAGGTTCCTGGTGTGTATCTGCATGCGTCAGATAATAAACTCAAGCCTACACAACCGTGTTAACATGCTTTTCAATCCTTCCTGCACATTCTTTGCTTTAAACTGTTGTGTGCATGGAAAAATATAAATTGTAATGTTAAAAATCTAAAAAATTCATCCAGCTGCTGCTTTGCAGAATTCTCTCCCCAAGGAGAGAAAAATCAAGCCATCTAGCGGAAAATCATGCGAAAATGTGTACAAAACAACAAAAATGGCGCCGGCAACGCTTGTGGGGCGTTTTCATCGAATGTCAGTGATTTTAAATTAATTTTGAGTGATAAATAAAAAAATTTTGCGATCATTGCACTTGCCCGGCGGGCAAATGCAATGAAATTTGTACTCTCCCGACAATAAAAACTACTTGCCCCGGGCGATGGTTAACATCAAGCCCTGTTCTTAATATTTGTGTCGTCTGAACAAAACACCCATTTCCATGTTTGCTGCCTTTTCCACATGGCTTATTTTAAAATACAAATCTGACCTCTTGTCAGGCTAATCAAGACATTGTCCCATCTGAGCTGTGCATATCTATACCTCACCCACATTTGCCACATGGCTCTTAGCTGCTTTAGTGGATGGTGGATCAAACAGAGCTCGGTATATTGCCCTATAAAACAATCTTTTTCCAAGATTCTTTCTGTCCTGATCCTTTTGTCCGGTCATCTCTTCATTGATAAATGGTAACCGTCCTTTAAGGCCCTCATGGAACAGCTGGATTTATATTGAGATATTCTGACACACAGGTGTATTTGGCTCAGTGAATTGTTGCACTGTTACTGGGCACAGATTTTAAGTCATAAATAGCTTTGAAATCTTGATCCCATTGGACTGATTGATGAATAATGACTTACCTGAGACAGATTAGGCTGGAAGGAGCTGTAAAGGGTTCTGGTCTCCACATGTTCAGGAACCAGTCCCTGCGTTCGAAGGACATGCAGACAGAGTCGTTCTCGGGGTGGACCCAAGTGCTGGTGAACCTCCGTGTTACCCTCTTTATGACAAAACAGAGTTGACTTAATGTGCCATAATTGAAATAAACTGTCCCACTAAATTCATGTGATGATAATGTCTTACCAAACTGGGCCAATGTGTACTCTTTTCCGTTGAAAGTAAGTGATGTGCCATTATCTTCCGTCTTGGGTTTGGACAGGCCTTTTAGACGGGCCAGGTTCTCCAGGATTTGCGACGGCTTCAGCTGATCCCGCCACTGATTGATGCCAGACCTTAAGAGACAGAGCTAATTTATTATGTGTAATTTCTTTTCTTAAAACTAGTAGTTCAAATGTTATACCTCACCGCCCCCTTAACTCCACTCTACAAAGGTAAAAGCCATTGGGCAGATGGTTTACTTACACGCAGTAGGTCTGAGGAAGGCCGCAGTAGGAGTTATATCGAGACAGGAAGCGGTTCTCTAGGTCGATCACTGTCTCGCCAACCTTCTCATCTCGAGTCAAGAGATCATAGTCATAAACCCCGATTCTCAGGTCCTTATCTTGAGGCAAGAAGCAGGTCATCTCAAACATCCTGAACAGGAGAAAGGTTTAAAAACCGTCAACGTGACATTAGGCGGACAACAGATGAAGAGACGCTCGAATATATTCTAAGACTCACCTTCCAAACACAGGGTTTATGTTGTTGGGCAAATAATTATCTCTGTCATCAAGTGTGTTCCTGCCCACTGATATTTTTATGTATGGATCGCACTAAGAAAATACAAAACAGGTTTAATCTGAGGAAACTGGCTAACCATGAGTGTGAAAATGAGTGAGTTTTATGGCTGCTTCATTCTCACCCTGCCATTGTTGTCTTTAGGCTGAAGGTCAATCGCCCGAACCACATAAATCCTGACCAGACACTCCTGAGGTCCGCTTTCCGGCAGCTCTCTGAACTGTCGGGGTGGAGGAGCAACACCTGGGTCATCTGATAGGGGGTACACCTTGAATGCACCCTGCAGGTACAAGGCAACACATGTAGAACGGGTGAAATTATGGTAATTTCCACAGAAGGTCGTCATCACCACTCAGGTTAAAAGCTTCTGAATGGTGCCAGGCTACCTTGAACTCTCCGACCACGGTGGGGTCTTCGTCCCCATTTTCATTCTTGCCTCTCTGCAGCTTGAATGTGTTGCAAAAGTCAGTCAGCCCCTTGAATTCTGGGACAGTCTCCAACTCACAGTCATACACCTGGAAATTAGCACCAACATTTAAGACGACAGCGATCAGAAACATCTTTCTGTTTGTCACACATTGAGTCATTACACTCTGGAAGAAGTAAAGGTTTTCATACTTTAAGGGTATCGTAGCCTTTTCTTATGTAAGGACCACATTTCTGCTGGTCTCCAACTGAAGCGTAGAATTTACTCCACCAATCAACCGTTTCCTTTTCCTAAAAATGAAGTGGCATTGCATGATTACCTTGGAATTAAATACTAAACAAGAACTTGAAAGCTAAAGCTGTTTTGCTCTCACCTTTTCTGCCTGCTTTGGAGGAAGACAGGATTAGAAGAAAAAAAAACAGTCAGTCATAATCATTATCATCAGAAAACACATTGAAGGTGGAGTGATGAAAGATTATTAGTGATCATTTCAGTGTTTATGATTGCATAACAAAGAGGAATGCAGATGCAACCTTGAGAGCAGATTACTGAAAGTGTAACAGCTTTGCTCAATCAAAGATTAAATCTACACTAGGAACAAACACCTCCACACTGTGTTTGTTAATGAAGGACAAAAAAATCATATGCTATGGTTTTAAATGCATACAGTTAATTAAATGGCAGCGGTGGCTTAGTGGTTGGAGCTAGACTAGATGTTTGCTTCCTAAACTCAGAGGCTGCCTCTCTGAGTCCCTCAGCTCAACAATTAATCCCAGATTCCTAACTAAAAGCAAATGTTCCAACTGTGGGACCTTTTCTTATTATTAAGTCAAACCTACTGAACCTACCAATTTTTAAACCTCCATAAAATTAAAGAATCTATCATTTGTATTGAATTACCTGGGTCTCAAATGTTCTTACAAAAAATTTTTATGAGTTAATTTATATTTTAATAATTTCTACAAGCATACAGAACATACTGATGAACATTTTGATAAGCAATAAAAAAAGCTTGTATAAGAACAGATTTGCTTTGAGACTTAAACAAGATTCAGTGAAACTAATAAACCTACACTGCAAAAAATTTGAATCTAAGTCAATTTTTCTTTATGACACCATCTAATAAGTACCTTTTTTTAATTGAGCAGGTAAGTTAGACACTTTGCTAATGGAACAAGACAATTTACATTTAAAATAAGAAAAAAAACAACTACAGTCACTTATTCTAAATTAATATCTAATTTAATCAATTTGACTGTGTGATCTAGTGAACTGTAAAGTGCCTTGAGATGACATGTGTCGTGAATTGGCGCCATATAAATAAACTGAATTGAATTTATTAACTTATTTTAAATCTTAAAATAAATTGGCAGATCTTCTAATTTTTCAACTCAAATTAAGGGTAAATTCACTTAAAGAAATTTGTACTCATTTTCAGAATGTTTTTGCAGTGTGCTTAGTAAATAGAATCCATTTGATTTATTTAAATCAAAGTAAAACAAGCTAGCCTCTTAGGGCCTCTGACCACAGAGCTCAATATCTCAACTCACAGAGAGGTGGCAGATGGAGCCGACTTTATTACACATAGTGGGAGGTCTACTCAAGGCAGTTTTTTTCAACATCTTTGGGAAGCACCGGTATCTATTCAAAACTTTGATCCAGTACATATATTAAACACAGGAACATTTGCTTTTCATTACACAAGACAAAAATAGAAACTTTTAAGCTTGTCTGCAAAATACTGTTAATAAAGAAGAACAGAAGAAGAAAGAAGTAACACTGCACATCACCCTGAACGCACCGTGCATACAAGGTTGGCGCTACATCTGGGATAAAGCTAAAAGAAAGCCTGATGGGCTGGGAAAGACTTGAGAATGAGATGGAGGTCTGCCTTCCAGTGGGAGAGGAACTCCACATACTGAAAGCTACAGGCCTTAAACCATTCCAGCTTCTTCTAAAAACTGATATTCACAGACAACCTCCATCTGAGTTTCAGCTAAAAAAAAAAAAGAACAAAAAAAGGGGTTAATTACAGCCAGTAGATATCTAGAGATACTACTGAAAACAAGAACACTGATCATTCCACCTCCCCTTCACAATTATGAAAGGATTTGTTGGTTTATTGCAAAAAATCCTAAAAAAAATATATGAAAAGTTTTGGTTGTAAGACAACAAATTAAAAAAAGATTAAGGAATAAAATTCTTTATTGACGGATAACATTTTTGTTAATGTGCTAATCTTAAATTGATGGTAATCGGTGGCAAAGTAGCCTTTGATACAAGGTAAAGCATCTGGATACCTTTGCTTATTTCCATGTTATGCCCTTGCTGTGACCAAAGTTAACCAGTGTTCTCATTAAAGTAGCTCTAAATAAATGTGGTTAAATCATTATGACAGCCAGAGTGTAGAGTAAAGCCAATGTGCCATCAGGAGGGATTTGTGTCATTGGTTTAGTGAATTACAAAGCTACAACAAATAATCATACATACAAACTGGAAAGCTGGGGAAGCCATTTTGTTGAAAGCTGCAGACATACTGTACAAAAACTGCAAGCCAAAGCATTGCACAGTCAAAATTTGACATTTAGGAGCCAAATTTTGTTTCCAAGCAAACCCACTGGGACGGAGGTGTGGGGAAGACAAGGGGAGCTGACATTTACCTGAGCCTCTAACAGCGGCCGGGCCTCTTCCATGGTGATAGAAACATCTTTACGTGGCGCCGTCATCATCAGAGCCACTGTTAAAACAGAGTTGATAAAAAATGATCTCTTTATCTGCAATAATATGTAATTTCAGAGTAATGAACTTACTCTTGGAGGCCCTGGCTCCCTCTGAAACTATGACATATGGGTCACATCTGAACTGCTCCAGTGACGTGATGGTGCACTGACCAACCACAGGCTTCCTGCCAAACGGACGGTGGTCGATCACCTTCAGCACAATAGGAGGAGTGTACATCTCATCCTTTGGAAGAAGCTGAATGAAGAGTAGGGAACATATTGCAATACAGGATTAGAAAGAAGCTTATTTGATATCTAAGATTATAAAATGCTGAGATATTGAATTTACTGATTACCAATTCTTACAACACATTTCAAGGCTTTAGTTTAACAGCTTTAAGTCTCTCTACAGTTTTTTAAGAATGTTTTCATCTTCCATCTGAAAATGAATGCATCTTTGTGTGGTATTAAGTGTGAGTCCTTTTGGCTACTTCTTTATTTAGGGGTTATGAGATGAAGCCTTTCCTGACTAAACCGTTGTTAGGTTTATTCTTTATACATCATGTGCATTGTTAGTTTTTTAGCCAGATTAGACAGAGTAGAAGGCCTTCCTTCACTTGGTGGATGTCACTGTGTGTACGGAGGTCATCTAATCAGGACAGCCTTCGTGTCTCTACAAATACACAGGATATGGGCACATCTTGGAGCCGGACTGATAAAGGAGAGCTATGTGTAATCCTGGGGTAAAGAGGCAAGACGCATGAATTTCAAGGCATTGATGGCGTGTCAGTTTCTGATACGGGCAGCTAAGCATCCACCTGATGCAACACATAGGCTCATGAGGTATAAGAAGCAGGAGAGGACTATTCGGGGCTCAATCTTTACCGGACGCTCGCTGACGTTTTTTGAGCCCACAACTGTGCTAACTCCAAGCAATTTCTCTGTCCTGTAACGACCTGGCCTGGAATAAACTCTGTTACTTTCTTACTCCTGTTTTATAGTCATTTTTTAAATGGTTTTACCCAGTTTGAGTTAAGAGTAGTAAATAACTTGCTCCCAGATAAAGAACCGGTAGGGAAGTTCTGAGGCGCAGCCACCTTCAGGGGGACAGAACTTCCATATTTAACACTGTCATTCAAAGCAAAGTTACCACAAATAACACAAGTACTATGACTTTACACATTCTAGGCGATAGCTCACTCTGGTTGCATAAAAAAAAACAAATTCCATAAAAAAATCTCGTTTGGCTTAGCATATTTTATTTTGAGTTACACATTGTTTTGGGTCGGTTTGTTATTAAGCTTCAGAGCTTCTGCATTTAGCATTACAAGATGCGTGAACTTGGTAAACATAGAAGTAATGGAGCCAAGCCAGTCAGCACCAGAGGTGTGAAGGTTAAAAAAGTCCAATATAGTGGAATTATTGGATGTCAAGGGAACTAAGACAACAGCAGAACTCAGATTACAATATGAATGTTGGAGTTAATTGAGGCAGGAGCTAAAGCTGTAGCAGGCAGCCAGTTGATTTGTGAGGAAGTATTGCCAGCAGATGGCGACGGCGAAAAACAACATTCATGTTTTCTGATTGTGCTCAGAGTAAAAATTCTCTCTGTACTTAAAAAGAAATAATTAACCACTGTCAGGACGACAGTTTGGTGTACATTACTTTATTTTAACATGATAAGGTTTTTGGTGGGTTTTATTTTTCAATAGACAGTATGTGAGACTGGGTCCTTCTAAATTACAACAGGGGAGTGAAGGCCTAGTGGTTAGGGCATTGCACTTGGAATCCAGAGGTTCTGAGTCCAAGCCCCACTCCCACAGACTGCCACTCTGGGTCCCTGAGCAAGACCCTTAACCCCACACTGCTTCCCGGACGAATTGCAGCCCACTGCTCCACAAGGGGATGGGTTAAATGCAGATAGTTCATTTCGTTGCACTGTACCTGTGACAGTGTAATGACATAAAAGCTGGGGGGGGAAAGAAGGAACTTCCTCGTGGGGTATTAAATGATAGACAGAAATACAATAAAATACTAAATGGTTAAAAAAAAAATAATAATTGTGAATGCAGTTTCATTTAGACATCCAGCTAGTGGTCAGCTTTTTAAATAGGTTTCATTCATAAAACACTGGACACAAAAACAATTGAGGAAAGGGACATTATGAGATAATGAAGATAAAAGTGTTTAGATGAACCCTAAGATCTTCAGTTTTCTTCAGTTTTTATTAAACATTTTAAGGAGAAAAAAGTGTGAAATTTAAATTTTTTTGCAAAAGAAAAAATGAGTCAATATTTTAAAATATCTTTGCTTCCATCGCAGCTGAAAGTCACCATGTTTTACTGCTTGCAGGAAAACTAACGCTGCACACTATGCTGTTTGGCATCTACTTCAATTCGGTTTTCATCAGAACACCTTTAACTTCTTCATTTTCATTCCCCTATATGAGGCATGTTGTATTATTGCATCACATAAGAACCAATTAACGTAGATTGAAGTCTACAGTTTTACAGGGACAAAATGAAACTGATATTTTACTCGTTTTTAGAAATCTGCTGACAGCATCATTACCACTTTAATGAAGAGGACAGAGCCGGGGAAGTTGGGACTCTTTTTCATGTTCTTGATCACAGCAGACTCCACCCTTTGGCCCCCACACTCTACCACCAAACTGGGGGAAGACACTGCAGCAAGCTGGTACGTCTTCATGTTCCTTAGACCCCATGCCAGAATCTTAAACACAAAGAGGCACACAAAAGCAGGGGTGGTATAGAGAGATAAAGGTCTCTACTAGTGCATCAGTGTGAGAGATTGTTCATTACCTCCACAGCGGTGAGCTGAACCACGGGTCGGATACCCTGAGGAACCATGTAGAGGTTCTCAGCTCTCTTTGGGGGAACCAGGGGGAGTTCCGACTCACCTGACTGCAAAGAGATACACGCTCACTTTTTTTTAACAATAATCAAAGTCCTTTTTACTTATGTGCTGCATTCAAGGTCCTCATATTTTCTACGTCTTAAAATCAACATGGAAAGATGGTTTATAGATTAAAACCTCGGACTTATGCATTGCTGCTACAGATTATACTCAACATCATGAGCTGATCCACTCATGGCATGTAAAGAACATTTTTACTCTGTACTTTCCATCTTTTAATGGATTAATTCCCTGGCTCAGAACATTAACTTTGATAACAGATTACCATTAATTATCTAGATGTTAACAAATAGATGGATATTTAGTGTTTAAAAAAACAAAAAACATCTGAGATATTTTGGCCTGGTAGGTAATCGATCTAAATGTTTTTGAAGTAGAGCAGATTATATTTGTGGGAGGAACAGTTTCTTTCCTAGAGCTGTTGTTGCCCTGAACGCCTCACGTACAATGTAACAACGGTAACTATCAATAATGCTACCTCACGTGCAATAACCTGTACCCGCTACCTCAGGAGAGCCCGCAGTATCCCTTTTTAAACCTTTTTCGTATTTATTTATTTAAATTTATTTTATTTTATATTTTTAAATTTGCACTGATTGCTTGTACTGTGTTTTTTCTTTTTCGAGCAATTTCGTTGCACCCCTGTGGAGCAATGACAATAAAGAATTCTGATTCTGATTCTCTGATTCTGAATGTTGAGGAATTTGAAGTCTGTGGACCATTATGACTGTAAAATGACTCATTTTCCAGAGTTTTTAGATCAAACCTTGTCTTTAAGAATGAGCTCCGCAGCCACGAGTGCCTCCCCGGATTTCTTCCCCTTCTGGATGACGGGATGCCACAGTAGTTTGGGCTTCTGATCCATGCTGGAGTTCAGCTTCACCAACGGGACGCAAACACTGCGGCCGAGCAGCTCATCCTTCCCCTGCACAGAGGATCACATGTTGCAGTTATACAGAAGTTAAGCTGGGATTTCCAAGAGTGCGTAACTAATAAGGATGAAATTTGATTAAAAGAGGGTAGTGTTGGTGGGTAAGGGATGCAATACATTATCAACACATAGTTACAACACTGCAGAGAAATTATTTTTCCCCTTTTTCTTCAATCTCTTGACCATGTGCTGATATGGTGCTGAGTATTAAATTACAGCATTTCTTCATAGGAACTTTTGATCTAACAGAGCACTCCACCACAGAAAGAAAACATTAATGATAGAGCTTTATCAAATAATGCTGCAATATGCTAGTGAAGATTCATCCAGGTCATTCCAAAAAATGTAAAAATTCCACTGGATTTTGTTTCCAAGTTTGAAGATGTTTCGCTTCCCATCCAGGAAGCTTTTTCAATTCAAATGTCAGAAATAGCGTTGAGTTCAAGGCTTTAAACAATAGCCCAACAAAGCCTTGTTTTTTTCTTTGTTATGTTAAGAAGAACCTTAAACAGAGGGGGGGAACTCAGATTTCAGCTTCAAAAACCTAAAATGCAGCAATTGAGTTGATCCTTTCCCGCCATCATCACAACACCCACCCCTTTACAGGGGAACAGCCTATTTGGCCAGGCCAATAATTTCCTTTAACGTCCCCCTTTCAGAGACATAGCCAGGTATGGGGCATTGCAAACTAACAAAAGAAGCCAAACGACCCCCATTCCAAAGGGGTGGATCTGTCTGTCTGTTTCATTTTGCATGTTTTCTAAACAAAAACAAGGCTTTGCTGGTCCAGTCTATAAAGCCTCAAACTTGATGCTATTTCTGACATCTAAATTGAAAAACTTGGAAACAAAGTCCAGTGGATTTTTTTTACATATTTGGAATGACCTGGATGACTGAGAATCTTCAACAGGATATTGCAGCATTATCTGATAAAGCGCTATGATTAAAGTTTTCTTTCTTGTTTTTGTTTTTTTTAACTATTTTGGAATAATGCTGCAACAACTTCTACAGAATGGATCTGATACCTTTTTAAGCTACTCAGTAAAAACTTAACTAAAGAGCAGCCATTTAATTTCTACCCCCAGTGGCGGCTGGCCAGTAGGGGGCGCTTGGGCGCCGCCCCCTTTAAATTGTTTGGATAATAAATGATTTCTGAACTGCAAAATACTTAGAAATATATTTATTCCTACTGTGTGTCGAATAGAAATGTTAAATGTATTAAAATAGTAAATACATAATTCTATTTAATTGCTCACATTGTACACACTTCCTATCCTGCAGGGCGCCGTTCTAATGAGAGTGTATGTAGGCGCATCAACTTGTGGCAAGCAGGTGATCTGAGGCTGACTTTTAATTGGTTATTTAAGGTTTTCAGCAGGGCGCAGCGCTCTGCGTCCCGGACACACCCATTCTGTTGTGTCATTACTAGTAGAGTGTCAGTACTGGCTAATTTTTTTTTTAAACATTGTGGGATTGGACAATCCCTGATTTGACTCATTAGCGCAGCAGCAGCTGCAGTTCGTTAGGTCGATTCACGTTTACGTTTGCAAAGTGGAGTGGTTTCAAAATGAGAGAAAATTCTGTTTTGTCTTTACAAAAAAATGCTTTTACAAAGCGTTCACTTGAAGAAAAAAACAGGATACTCAGTGTAGAAGACCATGAAAGGATTGCTGCAGAGGTGAGTTGTTGTGGAAAATCACTGTTACAATGGTTTATAGTACTGTTATTTACAGAGGCGTGCACAGACATTTTGGGGGGCAGGTGCTCAGGAGGGGGGGCGGGGCACTTTTTAGCGCACGTGTAACACTTAATTATAAAAAAAAATACATGCATGTTGAATGAAATTTGACTTTTATTTGTAACATTCTCTAAACATGAGTTTTCAATGGAAAAAAGTCACATCACCAACAGAACAGACTAAAGCGTACTTCTTTCATCTGGCTCATCTCCCTGTTTTCCCTCATCCATCTGTTCTCCCTCATCCTGCTGTTCTCCCTCATCCTGCTGTTCTCCCTCATCCTGGTCTTTTTCTGTCTCTGTGTCTTCCCTGAACTCTTCCTCATCTCCTGTCCTGGTAGATGTTGATGGTATAGAGCTTCCCTGCTGTGACTGGCTACAATATAATAATAATAACCATCATGACAATAATAATGATAATAATAATAATAATAGCTTTAACAAATATGCCACATTAGTTTAAATAATGGGCTACTAGGGCAACATGACTGGAAGTCATGTCACGTGGATATGACTTATGGTAGCCTACAAAATCATAGCTATTTTAATACCTGCTGCACAAACCACTTAAAAATAAAATGTGAACAGCTTTTAAGATTTTTCAATACGATTAACCCTCCTTTCTTGGCATTGTGCTGCAATTATTAAATCAATATACAATTAAGACAATAAAGAGACCAAAATGTGTTAATTTATGTTGCCTAACAAAACCTATACAACAGAAAACGTTTCTGACTTTAATCTCAGAATTCTGACAGAATTCTGACTTTTTTATTGTCAGAATTCAGTCAATAAAAAAAAAAAAACGAGTTTCAAAAGGGCATTTTCTTTGATAAAGGGCAAACTTCTTAGTGCTTTAGCACCACCTAGTGTCTATGTATGCACTGAGCAACACCTTAAAAGCCTATCCAGTGCTCAATCGAGGTAAGCTGAAGACAGACCTTACTCTCATCTACAGCAAGGAAGAGTTCAAAGCCTGTTGTGGTGCTGTGGGCCTATTCCAGCTGTTTATGGAAAACAATCTAGAAGAAGTCTTTTCAGAAACTGTCACGCTCTTGAAGATCCTCATCACCACACCCATGACCACAGCAGAAGCTGAAAGGTGCTTTTCAACTCTGAAAAGAATCAAGACTTTTCTGAGAAACTCAATGACTCAGGACAGGCTGAATGCATTGGCCATGTTGTACATGGAGAAAAGACTAGTCACAGAGATGACTGACTTTAACAAGAATGTAATTGAGAAATTTGCAGGGCAGAAGGAAAGGAGGGCAAAATTCATGTTCAAATAGTGCTATTTTTTAAGATTTGTTTTGTTTGTTTTTCAGTTGTTTGTTTTGTGTGCGCCCCCCTCAGTTTTTTTAGCACCAGCCGCCACTGTCTACCCCACAAACTCATAGGTTTTGTCCATGGTGTTTTTCTGCATTAGATGACGTAATTCCCTCCAGTAGATCATAAAGAGGCCGAGGCCCTGGTTTAATTCAGAGCTGTGGAGTTAAACCTCAACAAGTAACATTTTTACCTTAATAAATCCTCTTCCAAGTGCCTGTGATTTTAGTGCCACTGATAGCAGAGCCTGGCAGCTCTGTTCTCATTCTCAGTAAAACAAACAGCTTTATGGAAATGCAGACCTTTAGCTTAAATAGCCATATGTCAGAAAAGGAACGTAAGGATAAGATTCTCAACCATCTGCAGAAGAGTGAATTTTGACAAGCCGTTTGCTTTTGATCAAACACAACCAAGGATGAATTAAGGCATGGCGATATATACCATAATATCTCGATATTTTTAACATTTATTTATTTTTAACCTCAATATTTGTAACCATATTTATCTTTAAATGCGTTTCTTTTCATTCCGGTTTATAAAAGGCGCCTCTGAATTAACAGCACTTTTATCTAACATAACAGCAAAGATTGCAGCTGCAATGAAGCGAGGTTATATCGATTTATTACGTCCTAAAAGCGTAGTTCATGTCATGGACATTTCAACAACTGGCTGCTGTAAATAGCTTTTGTTTTTTTAAACAGATGTTTTGCTTCATACCTGTAGTTATCAGATTAGTCTAAAACAGTTTCTGCTGCCTCATTAGTCCCACCTTTGAAATCTGCTGTGAGCGCTGCATGAATAAGCCTGGGTGGCCACACTACACAGCTTTGTACTAAATGTCACACGGCACATTTTCTAACAATCTGCTATAGATAAACATCAGATCAGGTATGAAATGGCTAAAAACTAACCTACCTGCATTTTTTAAATTATAAATATTTTAAAAGGTAGACTTTCTGATAATAAACAATATAGACTTCACTTTTGAAAAAGATCTAAAAGCTAATAGTTAATCACAAGAATCGTAAATAATCAACTAATTTAGTAACTGATTAATAATACCTAGAGTATAGAGACTCTAAAACATGCCTTTAACTGCTACCCACTCAGAGCAGTACTTATACCAAAATTGTAATTAAAAACATTTTGGACAGAAAAACCCTTTTTCTGTCCATCAATATGCTCTATCCAGAACTCAAGTGGAAGCTTCAACTGATTTAAATTCTGTAAAAAATAGATAACATTTAGCTATCAGATTATTAATTGATCAATAAAAAAAAAATTATTCAACATATTAATCAAAGAATCATTAGTTGCATCCCTTAAATAATTATATGTTGCTTTTCTGTTACCAAACTTACACTCATCTCTTTGGTGGTCCATTATGCTTGGCAGGAATTATGTTGAGTTTTTTTTTTTTTTATTACAGTTGATTCAATGAAAATATTCACATCACCATCCTCTCAATCTTCATCCTCCATTTCATACTCAGTAAGGAAGGCAGAGATTAAAGCAACCGAGGAAACTGAACTCTATCCAGATGTTTTGGATAGGCTTAGCTTTCCAGAGTATTATCTTCATCTAACTTTACTTTTTATCTCTTTACATCTCTTAGGATTGGGTGTCAATTTCACCCCAGTTATTTAAACAAATACAACAGAGTTTTAGGGTAGCTGTAATCAAACCTTTAAACCTTCCCTTCATAAATATAACTTTATAGAACTAAGATATGACAAAAGCTTATTTCATGATGTGTTTCTCAATTTGGGTCTAAATGATACAATTTCACCATCTATATAAACACAATAAAAGCAAACCCATGAGAATTATTTTATCATGTTTTTAAATTTCCTGCAGAATAACATTTTAGAAATATCTTCTTTAAAAAAAACTAAACTACAGGAAACTACACTAAAGTCGGTCAATGAAAAATTCTGTAATAAAAGACTAATGTAAACAAAAAATTGTAAAAGTGTTTTAGTTTAGTTTTAAGTTTTTTTAATTACATCACAATATATAGCAATAATATCCGGCCCTAATATTATATTAATAACCTATATCTAATCTTTCTTTTATTCTAAAATTATAGATTAAATATTTGCCAATCAAGTGTTTGAGTTTGTCCATGGTTCTTACTTAAAAGTACTTAAAAAGTACATGATGCAAAGTACTCATAATAAGCATAATATTCTCATGGCCTCAGATAACGGACATGTCTGTTCCCGTCCTGTAGACCTTAGATTTCATCATCAGCCACAACATTCTCTTTTAAAGACTGGAATGTTCTGTGGGGGATCAAGGGAACGGCATGGGGTTGGTTTAATCTTATTGATCTGATAGATTCCAGCCCAGATCCAGTCTGATATTACTTCTGGACCACAGGGGTAACTGCTTCACCCAATAACTTATCGCTTTTACGATATATCTCGATATTTGGCTGCCCGATTTAATGTTGACTTCTCAGTTCCTAGTATCAATAAAAAAAACTGTTACCTAAAACAATGAGGGGAAATGGGCTACCTCTATTTAATATCTTCTGATGAAAACATTCAGCACTTGCTTTTTTTTAATTCATACATTTAGATAGCTTGGAAAAATATTGCGATATATGGTGATATTGCAATATCATGATTAAATCGGATTGTGATCCAAATATTGTGAGACGAATCGTATTACAACACCCATGCCAATACTCCCCCCTACTAAAACTAGACATAGCCATGGTTGACTTTCACAATGACCAAGTATGTGTTCTCTTTAATCCATTCAATGTGCAGCCTTCACTTCCTACCACTTGGTCGCTGTCGTAGAACTCCAGCACCACCTCAGGAGGACTGTGGACCATGTTCTTGGGGTCTCCATAAATCTCCACATCGTTAAAAATCAAGGTTTGGTCCCAGGTTGGGTTCAGAGTTGCTTTAAGCTTTTCAGTCGTCTTGCTAACATAAAGGAAGGAGACATGTGCATATGGATCTGTAATGAGAGAAAATAAGAGTTTTAGTTCTTCTTTATCGGTTAAGGATAACATTAACGCACAACGTCGCCTGTTCAGTTCAGACTCAGTAATGAACATGAACACATTAGATTTAAATGTCTGCCTTTTAAATGCTTTTCTTTAAATTATTTTCAAATGTCATTAAAGGTCTTTTAGTTATAGTCTCACCAACCTCCTACCCAGTTCAGATGGCAAATTATTCTTTGAAATATGAATATTTGAATAAACTCAAAGTTCAAAGGTCACCAATTCTGGTGATGATATAGGAACAATGACAGATTTATAACATTTTAATATATTTTTCACTTTTTAAATTACATAACTAAAAATAAGAATCAACATTTTGTTGATATTCTGGCTCAGTGCCATTGATCTATATTTTTCCGCTTACCAGAGAAACTGTCCTTGTCCATAGAACTCAGGTTCCTTGCCTGATAGAGATAGACGCGGAGGTGATACATGTAGGACTCTAGGGAACATTGCATTGGGGTGAAAAAAATATCACATTTGTTCATTTTGACCTTTACATCTCATGTTTTGACTTCATACACTCACTATCAAAGGAGCAGGACACAGTGGGAGTGTTGGCACCAAACATCTTGGTGGCATCAGCTTTGGAGCCTTTCTCTTTATCCTCTGTATCGATACCCTGGAAACCAAACCAGAAAGACGTCTTAAAGCAACACGTTCAGGTGTCACACTGCAAAAAAAACAAAAACCGCAGCCAAGGAGCCGGGTTTCTTTAATCATGGGTAAATATTTGGTGACTCATTAAGCTCACAGTCGGTTCCTGCTTCCTTTGGATTACTAACAGGAGTCTGAGTTTCTGGTCTCAATTCTGACAGAGATGTTATTCTTGCTGTGAAAGTCACTTTTACTCACTAGTGCACCCTCAAGTTGAAAGATGGCACATGCTCCAAGGCGATCTTCCGGCGCCATCTTCCTCCTCCAGCGTCTTCGACGGAACGTGTCCGAGGAGCGCTCAATTCGGTGGAACTTCCATCCAATCAGAGAGGAGAATTCCCATCCCTCTGGGTCACCATGATCTCTTTTCTAGGGGTTTGAAAATAAACATCTGATGATGAAACACTACTTAAAGGAGTTGGATTAGGGTTACAGTAGAGAATGCATTTCTTCTACTTTATAAATTAAAAAAGCGTTTTGCAGCAAACCTCCACGGCTGCTCCTGCAGGTCGTGCAGCCCTCTTTCGAGGTCGAACCAGCCTCCTCCTGCGATGGACGTGGTACGTCTTCTCAGCAGGGACCCAGGATCGAGGCTTGTCATCTGGAGGAATGGTCACCCCATACTCCCAGCCTGTACAGTGGATACGGAGAAACGGCCACAGTTTTAGTCAATTTGCTTTTGCTTAACAGTTCAGCTGAAAGAGTCTCAACTGTTTGGAGAAGAGTTTCCATTATTTTAAAGATTGTGTTTATAGGATTTTTTTAAACATTTCTTCTGGTGCTGGTTAAGAAGGGGAGGTTCATATTCTCCTCTTTACTATGTGCTTGAGGCCAAGACTGACAGGCCAGTTAAATTCTTTTACACCAAACTTGCACATTCATGTTTTGTAGGCTTAGTTTTGTGTACCGCTGCAGTCATGCTGGAACAGGAAGAGGCCTACTAACTTCTTTGTCTGCTCCAGCATCAGGAATTCTTTTGATTCGAGCATGAAGCACTTATAAACTGCACACAGTCAGAGACCTCTGTACAGTTTGTATCTCAGCATCCTTGGATCAGACTTTGGACATTACATGGTTTATCATCTGAACACGCAGCCCCAGATCACCACTATGAAGGAACCTTTCTGAACAGATTTAAAAGCACAGAGGGTATCTCTTCAGAGTCCCACCCTGAATATTGTGCATTGCTCAAAGTAGCCTTTTGGATTGGAAATTTTGAGGGATGGCAAATTCTTCTGATAGTGCAGTTAATGAAAGAAAAACTAATTGGCTTGCAAATGTATTCATAAACTCCAACTTCTTCTATTAATAATGCTCACCAGGTTAAACCAGAACAACGTGATGCATAATTGTGAATGAAGGAAAAACAATGTTTTTTTATTCTTACTAGTGGTCTGAAAGTATTTTACAGCTTTCACTGAAACACTATTTATAGAAACCATAACAAAATCTAGTCCAATCAACAGTTTTCAAAGGTCTACTAATTAATAAACAACCTGAGCTGCATCTATATTTACAGCTGTTAAAGGCGTGAGGTCCGTTGGAGGACATTTGGTTAAAGGAATAAAATCTGATGGATAAATTAAATTAAATCCCACTGTTCTTTGTCCAATTCATATGGCAGCGTAGAGCACTGGGACAGGCCTAAAGGCACAGAGTAACTGGATGAGCTGCAGAAACCCACTGCTCAGGAAGGAGGATCTGCCAACGGGACATGACCAACATGAACCTGCTCTCTTGGTGGATGCTGCAACACAGACTGGGCTAAAACATGATGCAGAGCATACAGCCAGACATGCAGCCATCTGCTCAAACACACCTGAATCAAATAAACACTGTACAAATTTTTTCAACTGTTGCACGCAGCTACAGCTCACACTGTAAGAAGAAACCCAGTTTCATACATTGTGAGCTTTCAGTTCACAGCTCACAAAGTATGATCTCACACTGTGCGACCCAACGCTCTGATGCCATCGAGTGAAAACTGCTGCCTTGGCAATTTGTGCAATTTTGTGTGCTGAAAACCCTAAAAAAAACGTCATTTGGACAAAGACATGGCTAAAGTGGCTACGACGGTCTGTCAATTTTAATAGAAACAACCCCATTTCACTCACACCCCCGCCGTGCTTCTGTGTTTTCATCTCAGAGGAAGAAGAAAAAGAAGAATCCTTGTTTGCACATGCCAACTAACGATTTGCCCACGACCACGTAACGACAGCCGACTGAATTTAAACATGTTTGATTTTCTCCCGACCTTATAATTCCTGATCCGGAGGGGGTCGTGCGAGGCTGACGGCCCCTGCTTACTTTTAAGTATACTTTACTCACCTTATACAGGTATTACACAATGTAGGATCTGGGTGAAAATCTGCCAGATCGAAAAATTCTTGCACGACTGGGGAATCGGCCCGAAGAGGGCAAAAAAACAAAACTTAGTGTATGTCCTGCTTAATGGGGTCAGGAAGATTCTTTAAATGTGTCAAATAAGAATTGATGAATGGAAGGTCTAGAACAGGCGTTACGAAAAGCTATCCTGCAGGTTTTAGAGGTTTCCCTTTTCCAGCACAGCTCATTTTCCTTGATTGCTGATTAGCAGGCTTATCCTGAACGCCATTCATCAGAATGAGCTGTGCTCAAGCAGTGAAACCTACTGTATAAAACCTGCAGGACAGCAGCTCTAGAGGACTGACTTTGGGCATGCCTGATCTAATATTATTATTCAGTTATTCCAAGTCTATGGGTATAAAATGACATTGTAGTAGAGATAGTAATGGGTGCAAGGAACCTTGACAGCATGTCAGCCTCTATTTATACCCTTTACTTCATTCAGTGCTTCAAGCTATTTAAAGATTTCTTCACCTTGATCATCCACAGCTCTGTTAATGTCCACAGTCCAGCTGTCCTCCCACGTCCACCCAGGAGGACAGTCAAACTCTGTAGGGTTACGGCTTTTCTCTCCATTCTGCCAAACAGAAACAATGTTAGCTGCATTTCCATATTTAAACATTTTCATCACTTGTTTAGCAGCTGGGTACCAGGAACACGCTGTGTGGCTCAGATTAACATTAAAACATTCAAATTTTTGTGTGAATTTCTGTTAGTCGGAAGGATAAAGTCATCCAATGTTATGCATGATTGCCAGTAGCAGCATTTGCATTCTAGCTCGCTGCTCTCACCACATCTGTGTACGGCTCCGAGGCAGGCTTCCACTCTCCACCAGGAAAACGGGTTTCGTTCTGGAAGACCTCATCCATAAACTCTGTGTGTCCCGCATCTGCTTCAGTTAGCAGGCTGAAACAAAGCCAAATGGATGATGCATCTTTTGGAAAATGGATGATGCATCTTTTGGAAAATTCTAAGAGGATTTTGTACACTTTAAATTTCACTAAATGATCCCCTGGTGGCCGATTCAAAAACACTGAACATGTAGAAGGAAATGTCCATCCTCCATTAGAGATGTAGATGGTTGCACATTAAAATTTTTAAATTCCATTCAGAATTGAGGTTTTAAAGTTTAAATATCAAGACTCCCTATAACTTCCCCATAGCGTAGTATTTCTCCATAAGTATCTAGATTGAGGTTGGTAATCCCTGCCCTGTTTTTCTAATAACAACCACCCTTACAGATTACATACCGTCTGAAAAAGAATCATCTACAGCTGCAAATATGCTCACTAAAACATTCAAGTGATGAAGGAGTGAGTCTAAAAGCAAGTCGTTTTCTCAAGCTGAAAGAAGAGTAGCTTACTGGTACAACCTGGAATGAATTTATGTGATAAAAGACATGTAAACAAATCAGACGAGCTGTAGCCCACTAACTTTGGCCCTGATGACTCGATGGGATTTTGTTTTGGTCGGCATGTGAGGAGGGGCATGTATAAGTGCAGTTCAGACTGCGTTTGCTGGCAGGTTTACTTACGCCTTTTCTGGATCGATAAACCAGTCCGACTCCCACTCCCATCCTCGTGGTGGAAGGAAGTACTCCTTCTTCAGCTTCAGTTTCCCCGTCACGTCTGAGAATTTATAGCGGCCCACCAGTCCTGTGGTCCCCCAGTTTCCAAAGACTTGAGCCTGGTTCTCATACTGCAGGAGGAACAAAGTTTGCACGCACTTGAACTTCTGTTTTTTAGATTATAATAACATACTTTATTTAAAGACAATTCAACCAAATCATACAGTCAGATTGGGTCAAAATTTTCCATCTAAGGAAAACCAGCTGATGGCATTGGCTCATTAACTTTGCAGAATGAACTCCTGCTGAATGAGCAATTGTGAGTGTAGACATTTGCTTTCACTGTATCATTAACTGTACAGTAATCCCTCACACCTAATATGTATGCAACAATAGAGGAGAGGAAAATCTTTCAGTAGGAAGAAGGCTGCACAGTGGTCTATAGTTTGTAGCAGTTGCCTTGACACAAGAAGGTTCTGGGTTCAATTCCTGGCCCTGGGTCTTTCTGCATGGAGCTTGCATGATCTCCCCCTGCATGCGGGGGTTTTCTTCGGGTACACCGGCTTCCTCCCACAGTCCCTAAACATCAGTATTAGCTTAATTGCCATCTCTAAGTTGTCATTAGGTGCAAGTGTATGTGCTTTATTGTGCGTCTCTGTGTTGCCCTGAAATGGACTGCTGACCTGTCCAGGGTGTACCTCACATTTCCTCCATAGACTGACCCTGACATAAGCGGAGCCTGTTCCTGCAGGCTTAGTGTGAGCGGCCTTCTGCCAAGGGCAACTGGGGATTCAAGGAGATTGAAGCAGACATACCCATTTTTGTGAGATAGAACCAACAATGAAAACTTTGTTAGGGTAAAGGAAATCTGACTGGATAATCTGATTGAATCGTTTCTGTAAAGTGACTTGAGATTACACCATTTTTGAATAAATGCTATATAAATAAACTGATTTAATGTTGGCCATTGATGCCAAACAAACTAAAAAACAAGGACGCAAACATTGTATCCAACATCCCATTTGGTCTTATCGGATAGTAGTAGCTTAGTTCTCGTCACTCTTCAGGAAGTTGGGGTTCAGTGAACCACCTCTGCTTTGAACTTTTCAAAACAATTTTCCTGAATACGGCTATTCTGTAATCATTTCCTGTGTGATCAGTTCTTTGGCACCATGATAAATGTGGCTGAACAATAATCCTCAAAAGTTTTAAAGGCAAAATAAGTATATAAACAGACAAAGTGATCTACTTAAAGTATTAACTTCTCAGCTGGACGAAACCTTGAAGGTATAGTGGAGGATGTTCTTTTTCTGGGTGGATCATCAAAATAAGTGGTTCTTCAAGGGCAAAAAAATAATAACTTTCCAGTCGTGCGTGAATTTTCCGATCGGCCCGACTTTCAGCCTGATCGTGCCGTGTACAGGGGGTAACGAGGAGCGATTAGCCTCTCTTGACCACCTCCCTATCAGGAATCGTGAGGTCTGGAGTCCGTTTTAGAATCGATTTTAAACTTCTGCTGTTTGTTTTTAACGCCATTCATGGCTTTGCCCCCTCTTACTTGTCTGAGATTTTAACTTTCCGCAATTGTGGCAGAGCTTTACGCTCCTCGGGTCAGCTTCTGGTAGAGGTCCCTAGGTCAAGACTCAAACAGTGGGGCGATCGTTCTGTTGCCGTCGCTGCTCCCAGACTGTGGAACAAACTACCCCGACATCCGCACCACTACTGACCTCAGCCTTTTTTTAAAAAAAGCTTAAAACCCACTTTTTTAAAGTAGCTTTTAATTCTGATTATAATACTGCCTCTTAGATGTCATCTTTCTCTGTGCTCCTTTCTATGCACCTCTGGAAGGCTTTTAATGTCCTGCAGTGCTGCACCACTACAGCACTTTTAATTGTATCTTGTATGTTTTATATTTGCTATGTATTGTTTTATGGCTTTGTTGTAAAGCACTTCGGGTACCATTTGGCTATTGTAAAGGGCTATATAAATAAATTTGATTTGATTTGAAAATGGAACATGTTTGATTTTCAGTCAACCACCGTGGGCAAATCGCTCAGTGCACATGTGCAAACAAGGACTCTTCTTCTTCTTCCTCTCATTCTTTCTGTAAAATTGACAGACCATAGTAGACACCTTTGCTCAGTCATGTCTTTGTCCAAATACATCGCCGCCTTTTCTTTTTAGGGCTCAATTGCAAAATTGCCAAGGCAGTGCGATTCACTCTAGTCTGCTTAATATTCCTCTTCTACTGGTTTGGCTTCCTGATAGATGAGTCCCAGTAGTGCCATGTCTCTCCGGGGCTGAGTCCAATGTGTTTTATTTAGACGTGCAGTGTGAGCAGGTAGATCGGATCAGAGCATCGGACCGCACATGTATCCTGGGCTAGAAACGGACACTGTACGACGATACCATTGGGTTTCATCGTACAGTGTGACTTGCAGCTGAGTGCAACGACTGAAAAATATTGTATAGAGCATGCCCGGCTTAAGCGGTGGTGAGTCTGATATAGTGGAAAAATTGCAAATATTCTTTTGGAAAATAAGCTTCTTTGAGCAATGCCAACAGCAACTTTTAAACAGAGCGTGCACGGGGAGAAATGGGCTTGTGAATGCTCTGGCATGTGTTTAATAGTCTTTCCCTCTTGGAAGCAGGTACATGGTTGTGCAGGTGCATTTTTTTTAAAGTGGATAGGGCGGTTCTTTTCAAAAATTTGTGAAAATCCTCCACTATACCTTTAAGTTAAAATCTTTATCAAAAGAAAAAAATATCCATACCAGTTCAGCAAACACACTAAAGGTTCCCTCTGAGAACCCGTTGAACTTTTTCTCATGTGTAGAGAGGCCGAGCCACATGTTGACCCTGATTTGAACTGGCACCTTCGAGCCTTTGGTCTTGTCCATGGGGTACTGAGAGGAAAAACACACACAAAAAAATGCCACTAAAATGATAAAATCGGTAAAAGTTCAGCAAATCTTGTGGGAGAATCCGTTCCATAAGAGTGAAAAGCAGCATTAGGATATTTCTTCTCCAAGTACCTTTAGAAAAATGGTCTGAGTCTTGCCACAGTGCTGCCCGCAGGCTTCTGTGCTGTAAGTCGAATACAGGATCTGGTGAGCAGGAATACGACTGTAGGCGACCCTCTTCTGCCCCCGCAGCATCCAGATGATCACGTCAGGCATGCTGTTCTGGGGCTGAAAACAGGGAGAGTATTGCCTTGTAAGGTTATTACTGTTTACTTACACAAAGTCTGCTGTTTGCTCCCAGATAGCCAAAACACTTGGCTATGTGTTTCAAAAACACTTTTGAAACAATCATAAGCCAGGAAGCGGCTTCCTGTGTTTGTACCTCCTTTGCCAGCTGATTGAGTTTGTCCAGCCAGGCCTCTATTTCTGGCAGAGTGTCTGCGATTTCTCTGGCCTCCTCTCTCATTCGTCTCGCAGCGTTTAAGATGGAGCTTAGAGCGCTGTCTCGCAGTTTCTTGATTTGGATGTCCAGAGTTGTTAGGTTGGAGCGGCCCTCCAGCTCAGGTGTAGGGAATCTCCAGGAGAACATTAAAGGATAGTTAGAAAACAAAAAAGATCCTCCAAAACTGCAAATTAGGGCTTCAACTAACTATTATTTCTCAAATTGATTAATCTGTCGATTATTTTTTCGATTAAACGGTAAATAATCAGATACCTAAATGTTCCTTAAAGAAGGTTTGTAACTAAATTAACCAAGTAAAACGAAAACTTTTCCACATTTCTTCATCTTAAATGCAAAATCTTTATATACTTTTATTAGAATTTTTATATAATTACTGCTTTAAGTGTTTCCCTCTGTCAGCTAAAGGCAGGTTTTACAGTCTCTACACTCCAGTCAACAATTAATTGATTACTAAATTAGTTGACAATTATTTCAACAAAGGATTAATCAGATTAGTCATTTAAGCCCAACTGTATATAAGTAAAATTTGTTAATATTAGGTTGCTTTGTTTCCAAACTGAACTCGCATTTGGATCTCGATGCTAACCATTTCATGTAGGTGTGAGCATCACAATATTTAATCATGACATTGCAATATCACTATATTTTGTTATATTTTCCTGTCAAAATGCTAAAAAAAACCTAGTGCGGTATACATTCAGCAGAAGAAATTGATCATTTAGTTATTCTGGTATCCATACTGTTTTGGGTTTGAGTCAGTCCGTGTCTTCCACTGTGGCTGCCTCAACTACAGCTATGGTGCAGCGCTGCACAGCAAAAGGGCTTCATGGCAATATCTGCCAGAGTGGCGGTGCAGAGGTAACCCCTTTCCCCTTTATTGTTTTAGGTGAAATTGTTTTTTTTTTCCAAGTTGATACGAGGAATTAAAAGATCAATATTAAATTGGACAGCCGAAAATCATGATATATCAGCAAATCGATTTTGCCCACGACCCCAATTACTTATGTCTTATCCTGATGAAACAACATTTTTCATCTTGTTTCTGAGTTAAAAACTTAAGTTTCCCTCTTTACATTATAATCAAAAGATCAAGGAACCTTGTAAAGTGAAATTATCTTGACTGATAATTTCACTCATTTCAAGTCAATTTCCCCCTCAGATTTGGTGCTTTCGTCCAGCAGTTTAGCATTTAGAATTGCATCCATACACAAAGTCAGAAGAAGTACAAAGATGCAATAACTTTTCTAAAACAAAAAGTGTTTGTTTAACATTACAGTAATAAATCTACAGTCCCTTTAACCTTAAAGAGATCAAAGATTAGAAGATAACAGGAAGGCTTCAAAGGGGAAAGGTTAGTGGCTCCATTTTGTTTTTATTCTAGGAAGTGCTCTAGAACCTCTGGAGATGATTTCACAAAGAGGAATTTTTCATAAGGTGAAGAACATTATGGACAACAATGAGCATCCTCCTCTGAAGATAAACAGAGTCTTCAGTCAGATGTTTCTCCAAACCGAGTGCAAGAAGATCCTACCTGCCTACAGCTATCAATAACAACGGATGTTTTTCATTAACCAATAACACAAAAAAAACATGACTTACTGAAACATTTCATTTCCCTTTGAGACAAATAAAGTACTTTTAAATTGAATTCATCCTTTTTTTGTTCACATTTCGTATAATGTGTTCGATTTGTAAATGTTCGAAGCCTTTCAGCAATCTCCAATTTAAACTGACTCAATTCTCCACAAAACACCAGAACATATTTTAGTTTAAACTCTGTTATTGCTAACATAAGATGACAGAGAACAAGTCTCTCCTAGTAATATTTATAAAGGCAGGAAAGGTACAAGCAAATATTTTGAATACTGCTATTCAATTACAGTTCTGAAAATTTGAATAAATTTGTGAGTGCTTTACAAAGGAAGGACACGAAATACAGCTCCACTGTGTACCTGTCCAGGTCTTCAATCAACTGATTCAGTAACTTCATCCACACTTCTGCCAGCTGATTGTCGGAGACCTTAGCCAGTATGGCCGTCTTAAATGCATCCAGGTTGGATTGCTAAAACAGCAAAAGCAGAGTAAACACATCAATCAGTTCCCTCCAGCACAAACTGTCAGGTTAACGCTAGCACATCTTAAACTCTTTATAATAGAAATGTATTCCTCCAGGTTTTTATCTAACAGACAATGTCATATTACCAAGTGTTGCGTAATGTAGAGGATAATGTTGACAGAATCGAGGCGGTGACTTATGTCCTCCCAGAAGGACGTGAGCACAACCACCGGTTTAGTATTTACCCAGGGCAGGTAGTAGTAATGGTTACCTAAATAAACCAACAAATATTAGGTCAAATGAAGCCTTGAAGCATGTTGTTTGAAGAGCTTTACATTTCCACTAGCACTAGAAGCTCGTATTCAAGAAAGAATTGATCACTTGCCATCAAACACAGCACAGCTGTACTGAGTGGTGGAGGCCAGGGGTTTACAAGTGGTGTCCAGTTTGTTGCCATAGTTACCAATGCTGACCTCAAACTGGATGGGTTCACCAGGCTCCTGAATCATAGTGGCGCTGTGGAAGACGGCGCACAGACAGTATTTTCTTCTCCTCTGGTACTTCTAAATGGTGAAAAAAGAAACATAATATTCACTTTTTTACATCAAGTATGAGTTGTAAGATAAAAGTTTGTTCTAACCATGGGAAACATTTGGATGGTAACGAGAGTAGGACAAATATCCTGTTCATTTGCTAGTTTGAAACTCATGAATCCAATGATTTTCTTTAGTCAATAAATGCACCATTACCATCTGTCTTACTAGAACAAAAAAGCACTTAATTAATCACACTCTGGAGAAATGTCAGGATCCTTTTCAAATGTCAGGATCCGACCCAGCATGGATTAAGACAGTTATGAGTGACTTAAAGCACTTTTATAATGTTTTTTTTGTTGTTGGCATTCAAGTGAATATACTGGTGTGATAACTGAGTTTTTGATTTGATTTGGGTATACAGAAAACTCCAGCAGCCACCACTGCTCCACATGATTTATGCACAGCTTTAGGTTACTGGAGAAAGCGCAGTTCTGCTTAAAACGTTTATCAGTTATTTTCCTTTTTTTTTTTTTATATTCCTGGTTGCATACAACATTCTTACAACAAGTAATGTTGTTGGCGAAGTATTTGTTATTTTTTGTCTTTTCTTAATTTGTTAGTTAATATAGAATTTCTGTGTAAACATTTTAACCATAACAACTTCATGTGACCGTAATTACATCACGAGGCGTAGTCAACAAGCAGATGGAGGCGATGGATTAAACTAAAGCCGGAGCAAAAACTTAAGAATTCTGATATTACTATAAAGTTTACAGACACATGAGCGCATTTCCTTGCTAATAGTGCTAACAGGGTTAGCAATTCTTTTTCCTCTATCCTTCAAGCTGTCTGTTTTGAACAACACATTACAGCTCTGTTGGCACAGTTGGGACTTATTTAGTAGTTGCGTTTATTGCAGACATTAGGCATGCCCCTTTGCTCCTAACCAATTGGTAAGCAGTCACAGTCGAAAGGACGGACAGAAATATTTCCCATCAATTAACCCATCAATTAGCAATCAGCAATTTAGAATTCGAAATACTGAGCTGGTAAACAGGCACAGTACCTGCAACACAAGGATGTCATCGCTGTGGATACCATCAACAGTTTTATCCGCTTTCCCCTCCAGCTTAGTGGAGAGCTCCACTAGTACTCTGCCCCTGTAAGCCACTCCTTCACCCTGTGGTAAACAGAAATCATTAGGCAGAATGCAACCAGATTACATCCAGATAGAGGAAAAGGTCAAATAAAAGTGCTCCACTACCTCGCCAAAATTAAGAGCCTCATAGGGGTCTGGGAGGCCCGTGAATTCCCTGGGACTGCCGTAGAGGTTGACATAGCAGGGCCCAAATACAGGAAGGAAGCCCACCTCTGATTCTCCAGAGTCAGCTGGAAAGATGAGAGTAGAGTTCATCTCTGTTTGAACTACCTTGACCAAAGCTCTAAATGTTAGTAGGTCACAATGTGGCACTGGAAAAGCAGGCAGCACTAACTAAAAAGGACAGCGTGGTGTGAGGTCAACACTTAAATCTTATTGATGAGGTCAAAACAGAGCAGAGCACGGGCGTATTAGCACTTTGCACAAACTGGACTTAATCACAATTAGACATGGGCTGGTATGGAGATGTACCAAAGTTTGAAAAATGTGAGTTTTGCAAGTCTTAAGTTTTTTAAACATGCTTTTCCTATGTTTAAAACAATCACTCAAAGGTATATTTCTGTGAATGTTGAAAAAAAGTGTTAGAAAAAAAAAGAAAAAAACCCACAAACAGTCAAGCTGAGAAACGACGGGAATCATGCATCACTGTTGAGCTAGTAGGGGGTGGAGTGGCGGCCTAGTGGTTAGGGCATAGAGCTGGGAATCCTGAGGTTCAGTGTTCGAACCCCACTCCCACAGACTGCCACTCTGGCTCCCTGAGCAAAGACCGTTAACCCTACACTGCTCCTCATTGGCTCCATGATGGCAGCCCACTGCTCCCCAAGGGGATGGGTTAAATGCAGAGGTACACATCTCCAATGGGAGATTAATAAAGTTCAATTAATATTAAAGTCATTTTGAAGGCACAGGTGCAATCCAACAGCTCCATGGCTGTCTGCCTTAGGACCAGCTAACTGAGTATGCCTGAATGTTATTCAGATGCTGAATGTTATTCTAAAGAGAACGCAAATGTTTTTATATTCAATCTATCTTTTTATCCATTATATGATAATTAACATGTATATTATAAAAAGAAGTGTCCAATGTTGTTTACTGATTTTAAATAAAAGCAATTAAATAATGCTAAACTTTTTTTCTACAGTAAAAGGTTAATTTAGAGAGTATTTCAAACAAGCCCATGGCTAATTATGATTGTTAGCATGCTCATTGCATATCATTGCATGCAACAGAAAAAAAGCACAGGTGAACCTTTAGAGGATGGCATTTCCCCATTTTCTGCATGTTCTTCTATTCCAAAAGGGAAAAAAGGACATTTTAAAGTAATACTGCATATTTTATAAACATCTGATTAACTGTTTTGTACTTTAATTACATTTAATTAAAATATAAAACTCATACCTTCTACTTCTCCACCAGAGGAAGCTATCTGGGTCAGGTTCAGGTATGTGGTGCCAACAGCATCATTTCCCGTCATACGATCCCTGTAGCCAAACAAATTATTTTATTGACACACATGCAGGGATACTGTGTAGAAAAATTAGCTAACTGAAATTGTTGCATAAAAATAAAAAGTATTTTTTGTTGCATTGAAACTGAAAGATTTATGCATGATATAAAAATTGCACAGGTATGTAGATCTATTAACACTTTTGGCATGTTTTTTTTTTTTTTTTGCCATTTCCCTCATACGCTCATTTCCCTCTGGCCTTCCTGAAGTTGAAATGAGTGCAGGTTCTCTCAGAAACTTGAAAATGAGGTCAGCGCAGCCAACAGAACATGTTGTTGAGGGAAAGGGAAGGGCCACCACAGTCTGAGTCACTGCCCTGCACTATTATAAAGGAGATGTCGGCCATGCACACACACACAGAGCGAGAACGTAGCTGACCACAGCACTGAAACATGGAGGCACATTTTCCTGACTTGATTTAGAACAACAAACAGCTGCAGGCCAAAATTCCTAATTCCCGTTTTAAGAAAACGTCCACTTACCAGTCAAACACGGTCAGCTTGATACGCTCACACATGGAAGGGAACTATAGTGAAGAAGAGAAAACAATCATTTCTATTCAACTTTTCTCTGCATCTTTACGGCCTCAGGACTTACTTTGAATTGAAGATTCAAAACCTGGTTCCACTCTGGGTTTGCATTCTTCTCAATGATCTGAGTGCACAACTAGAAACACAGAGAAATACATCATTAGCTTTTCCTCTGCAGCTCCCATTTTAAACATGCACCTTTATGGGGGGGGGGGGGGGGGGGGGGGGGGGGGGGGGATATAAATAAGAAGAAAGAATTCAGTTTAAACCTTTTTTCCAGCAAACCGAGCCTCTAGAAAAGGATCAACCAGGTTCTTCTTGTTTTCCTCTCCTCCAAAGATCCCTTTCAATGTCTGGACAAATGCATCATCCACTGAAAAGAGAAAATGTATTATTTTGTCATGTTTTATTGTGGAAAATCATAATCATATCGGAAACTCATCTCACTCTGGGGAATGTCTTCAGCCCTGAACACCTTTAATGACAGGGTGGCCCATCGCAGAGTTACTCCTGCTGGCAGCAGCAGATTGCTCTCTATGTCATCCTGGTCATCATTAGAGTCTCTTTTCTCCACCTACAGATGTCAGCATATACAGACTCATAAATGGAAAACCAGAGAGAAGAGTCGATATTTAAATGAAGGAAGTTATAGTCTGGAGGAACTTACTGGAGGCTCGTCTCCTGTTCCTACAACAAAGATGCTGACTTTGATGTAGCCTTTAGCCCCAGAGCTGCAGTCATCTGGGTCATTCAACAGGAGCCATTTTCTCATCACACAGTGGCCTGAATAGTGACCACAGATATAATCAGGACACAAAACTCCCAAACATTCACCTGCCACTTGGTTCAGTACATTATTTACTTTCAATTTGAGAACTACCTCAATTCTCTGTGGTAAAAGCATATAAGCAAGATTCAGATCAGGAACCCATCTGAAACAATTCTCAGTGGTTTCAGTCCACATCTCAGTTCCTGCTAATTCTTGCTGCAACGCTTCCATTCCATGACAAATGTGCTCAACTCGATTAAAATCTGGTGACCCTGGAGGCCGACGATGTATAATTAATTCATTGTCTTCTTTGGAAACCAGTTGGAGCCATGACTTTATCTTTAGCATAACACTGGAATGTGGAACATGAAATTGAGACTTGTCACATCAGGCAGCGTTTTGTGTGTAAAGTTGTTGTTCAGTTTTGGTCAATCTGAGGGATTTACTGCTTTAGCTTCCTGCATTCAGCTGACGAGTGAAAAACACGCGGTTATTATCCTCTGTTTATGGAAATTTGTTTCAAAGTTCATCTTGAATGAACGGATGCACCTAATAAAAAGCTGGCATATTGTGTTATTATTTATAGAGTCATGTTATGAGTTTATAAAAGGTATCGGGTATTACAGGCTAACAAAGAAACCAAACGACCCCAATTCCTAAGGGGGGGACCCATTCATCAGGTTCAATTTGCATGTTTTCTAAGCCAAAACAAGGCTTCGTTTTGGTCCACTGTAACCCCGAAATCCCACATACTCTGTCAGCGCTCCGCCCCGCTGCGCTCCAGACCGCCTGCGCAAAGCAAAGCCTACAGCCTGCGCTGTGGCTCCCGTCCGCTCCGTTCTGAGTTCCTTGGAGATCGTAGAGAGCATGCGGGAGATGAACTAGGGTTTCCGCGGATCATTAAAAATAATTACAATTCATTTTTTTTTTTTTTTTTTTTTTTCTCAAGGCCTTACTTGGCACTAAAATTAATTAAATATGTTTATCGTGGCATTTATAATTATTTAATAAAAAATGTTTATAAAAACAATTTCGTCAGATATATTATATCACGATTAATTTGCGTGGAACTGATTATAAAGCCGTATGTTCGGAAAGGAAGCTCGAGGCGGAGAAAAAGCTAGAGGATATATATATACGTATATATGTGTGTGTGTGTGTTTACATACATACAGGAGTCATGGAACTCTGCTTACAGCTCCTTCATATTTCATGTACACTAATAACTTGTGTACATGGGTCTTGATGATGGCATTAAAATCATTTCTAATAGCTTTAAAAAAGCATTAAATTAGAGTCACTCATTCCTGTGTGAACCATGTGAACGCTTAATTTAATATGACTCATTAAAAAAATTCCACCATCATCCAGCATATGTTCAGTTTCTGCCCAAATATTTTTTTGTTGTTGTAGATTTTTGTAACGGGGATAACTAGGAGAGCCTAATTCAAAACAGATTGTTTTGAATGAACTTTGTTTGTTCTCTACTCCCAAACTCAGCATCTCTTCATTCATTCCTGTAATAAGTCCTGTAAGAAGTTTCTTTTGAATCCGCATGTCTACGTGGACGGAGACGTGCGGAGGAGTAGCGGAGGATGTGGAACAGCTCCCATTGATTTACATGAAAGACAAGCGCTCCGCACAACGTACGTCAGCGGGGCGGAGCGCTGACTGAGTATGTGGAATCGGGGGGTAAAGCCTCGAACCCAATGCCATTTCTAACATTTTGAACTAAAAAAGCGTTCTGGATGGAAGCAAAACGCCTTCAGACTTTTTTGGAATTATTTTTCAGTACTTTGGTCTAAAATCATTTCAATAAACCTCATTAGCAACATCAGGACATTAATTCAAGAGGAAATAATTAAAACAATGACTGCTTGTTTCTTCAATGCAAACATTTTTGATCTTTTTAGAAATTTTCATAATAAATTCTCAAAGAAAACAACTACCAGCCATCTGCATTAGCTTATAGCTTAAGCTAATGTCACCCCTCCTCTAGTTATGGCAAACCTCACTCATTCACAGCGGTCAAAAACAGGAAAGGAGGAGGTAGAATAAGAAAAAGTTGGTAGAAGCCAACAAAATATTTTTTTTATTATGATTCTTCAATGTTCTTGTGTCATCAGCTGATTTAGGTTTATGACCTACGTCACTAATCCAAAACTAAGGCCAGTTTTTATAGAGTACTACTACTAGGAAAACTAGGATGCTTTTATGGGAGAATGTGGGACAGAAGTTTTCAGCTGTGAGTATCTTTTATGACTTTTTGGGAAGTTTGCAGAAGTTGTTTTTAACAAGCAAAACTGTAAAAGCTCTAAGAATCACCCGACCAGTTATAAACCATTTTAATTTGTTGTGGATGTGTTTTTTGTTTGTTTTTTTGCTCTAAACTTCGTTTCCATCTGATTTTGTGTTAAAGTCCTTCCCCTTCACCATTAGGAGGTTTGTGATGACAGAATGGGGGATCTGGTACAGCTCAGTGACAATGACTGCAGCTCTGCCTTCTTTATATTTATGAAAATCGCCTTTAGGTGTTTTTTCTTTCTTCTAATTTGACACAGTCAAATATGGGACATTGATTCGATTTGTAGGAAAGAGAGACATGAAGGATAAATGCAGCACTGTGCCACACAAATCAGGACATCTAGTCACTGGCAGAATAATAAATAATAATAATAAATAAATTCCCTTACATGTTTTTATATTACTCTGTCCTTTGCATAGTTTAAGAACATGAGGGAAGGGCACAGACAGAAAGAGCAGTTCACCAGGAAGCTGTTTAAGAAACAACCACCATTCAATATAAATCAGACAGTTTGATGACTATATTTACTCTGGAAGTATGAATTAATATTTTCGACACCATTTTAAGCCCATTAGTAATTTGAATCTTTTTGTTTAAATGTTATTAAAAAAGAAGAATTTTAAACCTGCATGTCTAAACCTGCAGACCCCTGTTTAATACATATGTGATGTAAAGGTTTTGGGGTTTGCAGAATCCTTAGTGCTCTGATACAGACAGCAGCTGCAGAAAGACCAGTGATATTTTTCATTTTAAAGATGAAGTTAGATTATAACTTCTGCATCAGATTATAAAGTTTTTAATAATCCGATGCAGGTGGCACAAAAATGTTTAGCTTTAAGCATGAATAATTAATAATGGATTAACGAAGACCACCAAAAAATAAATAAATACACATCATGTAAAGGTTGTAAAAATTATAATATTTGATTGATGAATTTCTAAACTATGGTTTGATTTTATATATATATATATTTTTTTTTACTTTTAAAGCAATAAAAAAGATCAATTATGAGGAGAAAATTAAACATATTAAGAAATTATCTACAGAAATTGTACCAAATCCCACAAATTTTCCCAAAGTTTTAAATGTTCCTCTCCAAACAGCACAGACCCCCCCCCCCAATAAAACAATGATTAATGAAGCTTTCACAGAGGCTTGTTTGAACTTACCTGGTTCATCATAAACATAACCAACATCGAGCTGTTTGACGAAACAAGGAGAAGTCAGGTTAACTCAGAAGAGCATAGAAACAATGAGAAGCATTAACAATTATGAGTGGAGGCCCATATTTACCAGGAATTCTCCCATAAGGCTGTCTGCCCTCAGTGAATAGGAATTATAGACCTATAAATGGAAGGGTAAAAATAGGGATTTATACTGTAGCACACAGAGATAACAACAACATTTCCATGTGCTGCACTAACCCGGAAACTGATGTTCTGCTCAAACAAATCTGATGGCAGCATGTGAACGTTGTAGAACATCATCTGCGTGAAGCCAGAGAACAATAAGATGGAAACTAAGGAACCTCAGCAAAACAAATCATCAGAACACAAACTGTTTACACTAGAAGATAAAAAGACCAAACCTCATCAAAGAATGGATTGTTTCCCTTCTTGATCCTGGTCCTGTGGGTCTGTCCACACACATGAACCTTCACCACAGGTTTGATGTTGTTTCCAGACAACTGGCGGGCTTCGATGACCCGAACACGGATCTGAAAGACACACTGGAGTTAAAAACAACTTAGTTCCATACGGTTATGCCTGTACTGAATCTCAACTTCTTCTAATCCCAAGATAACTACGGGATTAATGAGGGAGAGCAGCTCATTCTAGGCTGCATAAGACACAGTCATGTGTACATATAAGCATTCACCATTACAGCTGCTGATGTTTTTAAGTAGATTAAAACTTCACAAAGCATTTGCATCTGCGTCCTTGTGCAGAATTCCTTAAATGTCTTTCCTTATAAAGGAGCGAGGATTCAGAGACTTTTTCCAGACTGAAAAATTTAAAGGGGAAGATGACTAACCCAATGACTGACCCAGTGTGACCAGAAAAACGTACAGAAATAACTTAAGTTCAAAAATGTGACATACAAGGAGAATTTTAATGCCACACTTAATATTCTGAAGGTTTGTCTGTAACTAGGGAGTTGACAGTCCGAACCCCCAGTGCACCCATCTGTAATCAAATTCTTTGACTAGATTCTTTACCTGCATTGATTGTAGTGTGAAAATACCTTAGTAACCCTGGACTCGATAAAGTTCTATAAGTACAGGCCCTTTATCATTGTTTAAAGGTATACTGGAGGATGTTCATTTTCCGCGTGGATCATCCAAATAAGTGGTCCTTCTAATTGTCAATCATTCTTGCGATACGTTTTTGTAAGGCCGTCCTATGTGCTCGTCCCCATTTTCCCTTACCAGTGGTGAGTCTGACATAGTGGAAAAATTACAAATCTTCTTTTGGAAAGTGAGCTTGTATGAGTGATGAAAACAGCAACTTTTAAACAGAGCGTCTACGAGGGGGAAATGGGCTTGTGCATTTAATAGGTTTTTCCTCTCGGGAGTGGGTACAGGGTTGCGCATGTGCATGTTTTTGTTTTTTGTTTTTTTTTTTAGTGGAGAGGGTGGGTCATTTCAAAAATTTGCGAAAATCCTACACTATACCTTTAAAGTACAGGTGACTTATATGTTAATAAAAGCGTTTTACCAAAATCACTGATGGCCCAAAAGCAGGACCCAAATCCTTCATAAAAATTAAAACACATAAAATGTGACTGAAGTCTTTTTCAATCATTGTATGATTCACTTTTCTAGTTGACCAGAGTTTCTAAGAACTTCTAATTCATTATCCAGATCTTTAGGGTTCCTCAAGGGTTCCTCATTAGAAAGGAAACAGGGTCAAATCTTCATAGCTCAGTTATAGAATTACTGAATGACTACATGAATGACTACTGGTTTTTAGTCACCATTAGTTGCTATTAGTTTACCATCGGTTTGAAAGAGGAGGGAAAAAAAACAAAAAACTCAAAAGCAACATTTAGTATTTTGTTAAATCCAGAAATTAGGATAATTTGAGATATAATAAATGTTTTTTAGGTCAATATACAGCACTAGCTTCATATCAATGAGCCTTGCTGGCTACCTTCCTACAGCTAATCAACTTGAAATGTTTGGATCAGTCACATGTTTGCTTCTAATGTATGGTTTTATCTAGAAGTGAATGTGGGCTTTAAAAGCAAACCCATAAATTATAAATCTGCATTTTAGTCTAAAATGATGATTTGATGCTCATTTTATTTCAGTGAGTCACAAATCATGGAAATTAGTAATTTGTGTTTAGCAAGCATGTTTGTTTTAAATATTTCTTCACTGTCCCCATGAGAACCACCATGTGTGGGAGGACAGAAGCAGACAGAACCTCTGAGCCAACATCTCAGACCATTACTGCTTAAGGCAGCGGTTCTCCTCCACAGAGGGGGGAGAGAGGTCACCCTGTTTGTGTTGCTGTAAGTGCCAGTGTGCCATTGTCAATCACAGTCATAGCCGAGTAATTAAATGAAATGCTACAACAGACAAATAAGCTATTGCAAGTTAAAGGGTTAAAGGGTTCAGTTAGTTTAAATGTTTCAGTATGGGATTATGCTATTTCAACAAAATCTAAAGTTGGAAGGAGTTAAGCATTAAAGTTATCGAAAAGTGCCAGAAAAAATAGCATACAGTGGGGAGAACAAGTATTTGATACACTGTTGATTTTTCAGGTTTTCCCACTTGCAAAGCTTGTAGAAGACTGTAATTTTTATCATAGGTGCTCTTCAACTGTGAGTGATGGAATCTAAAACAAAAATCCAGAAAAATACAATGTATGATTTTTAAATAATTCATTTCCATTTAATTGTGTGAAATAAGTATTTGATACACCAGAACAATGAAACTTAATATTTGGTACAGAAACCTTTGTTTGCAATTACAGAGATCAGACATTTCCTGTAGTTCTTGACCAGGTTTGCACACACTGCAGCAGGGATTTTGGCCCACTCCTCCATACAGATCTCCTCCAGAGCCTTCAGGTTTCGGGGCTGTTGCTGGGCCACACGGACTTTAAGCTCCCTCCAAAGATTTTCTATTGGATTCAGGTCTAGAGACTGGCTAGGCCACTCCAGGACCTTAAGATGTTTCCTACGGAGCCACTCTTTAGTTGCCCTGGCTGTGTGTTTTGGGTCGTTATCATGCTGGAAAACCCAGTCACGACCCATCTTAATTGCTCTTACTGAGGGAAGGCCAAAATCTCACGACACATGGCCCCATCCATCCTTCCCACAATATGGTGCAGTCATCCTGTCCCCTTTGCAGAAAAGCATCCCCAAAGAATTATGTTTCCACCGCCATGCTTCACGGTGGGGATGGTGTTCTTGGGGTTGTACTCATCATTCTTCTTCCTCCAAACATGACGAGTGGAGTTTTTTGTCTCATCAGACCACATGACCTTCTCCCATTCCTCCTCTGGATCATTCAGATGGTCATTTGCAAACATCAGACAGGCTTTGACATGCGTTGGCTTGAGGAAGGGCACATTGCGTGCACTGCAGGATTTTAATCATTGAGGGCGTAGAGTGTTACTGATTGTTTTCTTTGAGACTGTGGTCCCAGCTCTATTCAGGTCATTGACCAGGTCCTGCCGTGTAGTTCTGGGCTCATTCCTCACCTTCCTCAAGATCAATGATGCTCCACGAGGTGAGATCTTGCATGGCGCCCCAGACCGAGGGAAATTTTCCGTTATTTTGTATTTCTTCCATTTTCTAATAATTGCACCAACTGTTGTTGCCTTCTCACCAAGCTGCTTGCCTATTGTCCTGTAGCCCATCCTAGCCTTGTGCAGGTCTACAATTTTATCTCTGATGTCCTTACACAGCTCTCTGGTCTTGGGCATTGTGGAGATGCTGGAGTGTGATTGATTGATTGAGTGTGTGGACAGGTGTCTTTTATACAGGTAATGAGTTCAAACAGTTGCAGTTAATACAGGTAATGAGTGGAGAACAGGAGGGCTTCTTAAAGAAGAACTAACATGTCTGTAAGAGCTAAAATTCTTACTGGTTGATAGATGATCAAATACTTATTTCACACAATAAAATGGAAATGAATTATTTAAAAATCGTACATTGTATTTTTCTGGATTTTTGTTTTAGATTCCATCACTCACAGTTGAAGAGCACCTATGATAAAAATGACAGTCTTCTACAAGCTTTGCAAGTGGGAAAACCTGAAAAATCAACAGTGTATCAAATACTTGTTCTCCCCACTGTAAATGAAAGGATCAAACAGACCTGGAAGTCCTGAGGTTTGTTCACTAGTCTGCGTTGACTCTGTGCCCGGGTCAGCCTCTGGCGAAAACCAGCAGCCTGCCCAGAGGATGAGGGGACTCCTGCTGGGCCACTCTGGCCCCCGTCTGCGACAGTCTCCCCCGCCTCTTCATCCCCACCACCATCTCCACCTTCTAAACATCAAAGAAAAACATACGAGAGATAAAGACTGGAGAATCAAATCTAGTAGAACAATTTTGCGCAGCAACATTAACCACCATACCAGCTGCCATTGCATTTCCATCTTGAGGGTCGTTGGGGTTTGGAATAGCATTGGCTGGAGGGTCATAAGCAACCACCAGATCTATTGTAGCCTGGAAGGAAAATAAACTCTGGTTAATTTCTCTTCCGTTCAACAAGAGCCAGGGTTTTATTTTTCATATTTTTTCCCCACAAGACACTAACCCCAATACGCTGTCCACTTTCATCGACGAGAGGAACATTTTTGGACGGCAGAGATCTTGCTTTTCCAGAGGCAAGGTCTCTTAGAGGAATTTTAGTGGACCCAAGAAATCTAAAGAATGCAAACAGAAAGAAATTTTTTCACATATTCGGACAATCGCATGCACCGATTTCATGGATTCTTTTTAGTAACAAACCACCGACTCACTCGGCTTTAGTCAGTCAGAACCTCTGTACCCAGACAACAGATGACAGGTAAATACCACAGGAGTGTTCTCAGCTGAGGTTATTTTCACAAAAAGAGCACAGAGAAGGTAACCACCCAGAGCTAACAAGCCCTGCCTGCACAGACAAACAAAACGCATTCGAAGAGGAACATCCTCTCATTCCTCTGGTTAGCCTACTGCTGCTTTCTAACATAAAGGCAATTTAAAGATCCCCAAATCTGTTCATTTGTTCTCTAAATATCAGCTGTGAATGATGCTGTGAAAAAGATCCTGCAGGTAAAAAGACCTGCTCAGTTTAAGCTGTAAAAATCTTAATGTGCACCTAAGAAGACTTGTAATCTGGTAAATAAAGTTAAATATTTAGCACTATTTGTAGAAAGTGTAAAGACATTAACTAAAAAAATTGTAAAATATTACCGATTTGCCTTTATTGTTTGCCATTTTCATGATTATAGAATACTGGTATTCCCCCATGAATTAAAGAAGCTTAATAAGATAATAAATGTTTGGCTTTGTTCTGGGGATTCCTCTAAAACTTTTGGAGAGGATTTGTCTTCAGATCACATGTGCAGTAATTTTGGTTTGAGAGGATAGACAGGCAATGACTTTTTGTTACCAAGATATAAAAAACACCGCCCTCCATCACACAACCAGATAGGCCTTGAAGAACAAATGAGCAACAAGAGAACAACAACCCTGACAGCCAGGCAGAGGAGACCACAATTTACACAAACTGAGAAAGGGAAAAATACCAGAATAAAAAAATGTGTCCTGGTCCAATGATTCTTTAAACTAGGAGAGTTCAATTTGTCATAAGTCAAATGGTAAATGTTAAATGGCCTCTGCTTATGAAGCGTCTTTTCAAGTCAGAGGGCTCCAAAGAACTTTACACCACAAGCAGCCATTCACACACTGATGGTGGTGAGCTTATTTGTAACCACAGCTGCCCTGGGCCTCAGTGACATGAAAGCATGCATCAGTCTTTCAGTAAAGTTTCTAACTCATGGTTAGTGTCTGGGGGCATTTCCTGTGCACACCGTGAAGCCCCTAGTTCCATTTGAATATTGTTTAAATGCGAAGTGTTGATAGACTATGTCCATCCCTTTAAACCAGAGTTTGCATATTCTAACAGCTACTTTTACCAGGATAAGGCATCAAATCACAACCCTTATCCTCTAAATATGGCTTCTTAAACATGATGATATGATCACCAGATCTAGACCAATTAAAGCTATTTTTGGAAGTGGTCAACCACGGAACAGATCAAGGATGCGAGTTGAGTTGTGAGGCCACCTAAATCATCCAAATGCGCCGTTTCTGTACCTTATTGAAAGGAAAGTTTTTACAAAGGGTACGCAACAGTCCTTCAGACTAGAAAGAAAAATGCTCCCTGACTCCTTTATAGACTGGATGGAATCTGAGTGATAACAGAATTTTATAAAAAGAAAAAGGAGATTCAGGGGGAGGATGTCCTTACATTGCTTTGTGATTCTTTCTTGGACAGAGAGCTGGTTCCAGAGGTTAAGATATTTGCTGTCTTTCTGCTGCACTGTATTCAGATAAAGTTTTCACTCATTAATAGAGACCAAGTTGTAGATTTAGCTGGTATCCAGCCATGACTAACCAACACCAACATAAAGATAAAAGGAAAATATTTCAATTTCCTTCCGCATAGATTGTAAAAAGCTTTAGGAGCACATACTGGGGGTACTGTATGGACTTCATTTGTAAATATTCAGTGGCTAAATTAGCCTTTAAGTACAGGAGTGGTTAGTCACACAGAAACATGAGCACAATATCATTCCTTTCAGTGACTTTATCGCCTAAAGTAAACACTTCTGTCAAAAGATTGAACAGTAGCATATTTGGAGACACCACAGACCAGAGAGCAATTTCATGCACCACACATTCCAGCAACAGCTTTTATTCCAGAAACAGTTGGATGTACACTACCGTTCAAAAGGTTAGGGTCACCCAAACAATTTTGTGTTTTCCTGAAAAGTCACACTTATTCACCACCATACGTTGTGAAATGAATAGAAAATAGAGTCAAGACACTGATAAGGTTAGAAATAATGATTTGTATTTGAAATAAGAATTTTTTTTTTTACATCAAACTTTTCTTTTGTCAAAGAATCCTCCATTTGCAGCAATTCCAGCAATGCAGACCTTTGGCATTCTAGCTGTTAATTTGTTGAGGTAATCTGGAGAAATTGCCCCCCACGCTTCCAGAAGCAGCTCCCACAAGTTGGATTGGTTGGATTGGCACTTCTTGCGTACCATACGGTCAAGCTGCTCTCACAACAGCTCAATGGGGTTCAGATCTGGTGACTGTGCTGGCCACTCCATTACCGATAGAATACCAGCTGTCTGCTTCTGCTCTAAATAGTTCTTGCACAATTTGGAGGTGTGTTTAGGATCATTGTCCTGTTGTAGGATGAAATTGGCTCCAATCAAGCACTGTCCACTGGGTATGGCATGGCGTTGCAAAATGGAGTGATAGCCTTCCTTATTCAGAATCCCTTTACCCGGTACAAATCTCCCACCTTACAGCACCAAAGCAACCCCTGACCATCACATTACCTCCTTAACAGATGGCGTCAGGCATTCTTCCAGCATCTTTTCATTTGTTCTGCGTCTCACAAACCTTCTTTATGACCTAAACACCTAAAACTTGGATTCATCCGTCCACAGCACTTTTTTCCAGTCTTCCTCTGTCCAATGTCTGTGTTCTTTTGCCCATCTTAATCTTTTTCTTTTATTTGCCAGTCTTAGATAAGGCGTTTTCTTTGCCACTCTGCCCTGAAGCCCAGAATCCTGCAGCCGCCTCTTCACTTTAGATGTTGACACTGGTGTTTTGCGGGTACTATTTAATGAAGATGCCAGTTGGGGACCTGTGAGGCGTCTGTTTCTCAAACTAGAGACTCTAATGTACTTATCTTCTTGCTCAGTTGATCAACGCTAACCTGACAACAGCCAGATGTATGTCTCACTCCGCCTAGCTCCACTCACATACATCTGGGAACCCGCTCATTGAAAGTGATTTCCCCAACCAAATTTATGGTCTGTCCAATCAGGACGCAGGGTGGGTGTGTCCTGGAGTGGAGAAGCGACCGTGAGATTCCAACAACAATGGCGGCTCGCATTGAGGAAGCAAGCGTTAGCATTGATGCTGCTATTTCTTCTGTGTTGTCCAATCTATCTGATATTGTTTCATTAAAAGAACATCAGAGAACGGCTTTGAAGGCTTTTGTTGGTGGAAACGATGTTTTCGCCCTTCTCCCGACCGGATTTGGCAAGAGCTTGATCTACCAAATGGCTCCTCCTCTCACAGCGTCACGGGTTAGCTTCGGTGTGAGTGATTGAAATAGCACGTCGATAAAGATGACAGACAAGTGGCTTATCCAATCATATGCAAAGAATTTTGATAAGGCCCAGCCTTCAGAAAAGGCAATTCCTATGGCGGTGTCCCAGATGTATGTGAGTGGAGCTAGGCGGAGCGAGACATGCATCTGGCTGTTTTCAGGTTAGATCAATGCGGCCTCCTACTTCTTTTTCTACTCTGGTTAGAGCCTGTCTGTGCTGTCCTCTGAAGGGAGTAGTACACACCGTTGTAGGAAATCTTCAATTTCTTGGCAATTTCTCACATGGAATAGCTTTCATTTCTAAGAACAACAATAGACTGTCGAGTTTCAGATGAAAGTTCTCTTTTTCTGGTCATTTTGAGCGTTTAATTGACCCCACAAATGTGATGCTCCAGAAACTCAATCTGCTCAAAGGAAGTTCAGTTTTGTAGCTTCTGTAAAGAGCTAAACTGTTTTCAGATGAACATGATTGCACAAGGGTTTTCTAATCATCAATTAGTCTTCTGAGCCAATGAGCAAACCCATTGTTCCATTAGAACACTGGAGTGATAGTTGCTGGAAATGGGCCTCTATACACCTATGTAGATGTTGCACCAAAAACCGGACATTTGCAGCTAGAATAGTCATTTACCACATTAGCAATGTATAGAGTGCATTTCTTTAAACTTAATACCAGTTTAAAGTCATCTTAATTGAAAAGTACAGTGCTTTTCCTTAAAAAATAAGGACATTTTAATGTGACCCCAAACTTTTAAACGGTAGTGTATATCTAAGAACATTAACAGGAACACCTTAAATTTCACCAATCGATCGCAGTAATGTTATCTGGTGCCTGCTCCCATTCTGTGTGCCTTGAGTTTGTCGCTACACTAATTAAGGTACGTCTTTGATTTAATTGAATGCTTATGTTAATCTAAGTTTTCTTTCCTTGTTCTTTTAGATCTGACTCTCTTCTGACTGACCACCACGCAAACGTACCCAGGTTTAATCACCAAACTCTGGTTCCTCTTCTTCCTTTGTCAAAACGTTGACTTACAGTATCTGTATCTGTTCTACTGGCATACAGCTGTTCAATGTGTCATACTTTAGAAGAATTAGAACTTACAGATTTTAGGCTATGAATGAATACTTGTTTATATGAGGCTGTTCCGTTGTCTGAACCTGAAGGCTTTTGGTCTTGCATTTATTAAAGTGTTTCTCATTTATACTGGCAATAGAAGCCAAAAGCAGGTCATTTTTAAAATCACACTCATTATAAATAAAAAAGACCAACTTTTGGCCTCCTTTTATTAGAGTATGGATAGCATGAGCAACTAATGCTCATTTGATAGTAAATTGCAAGACGCTTCCATTATAATAAAAGCCACCACAGTTTAGTCGGAAGACTTAAAACTTTTGAATACTCCAAGCTCACAACAGAGGAATTTTACATGGGCACATAGAAGTTAGCAAGCAGCAACGAAAGAGATTCAAGAAACACCCAGAATCAAAGCAGGTAGGTCATGTTGTGCAACTCTAAT